GCAAAAAAAAAATAGCATCAATTTAAACTAGCTTTACCTAGGTCATTATAGTTTATATATATATATATATATATATATATATATATATATATATATATATATTGTGAACAAATATCTTCTATCTTTACCTGTGCCTTTTTTAAAAATAACTTATGTGTATGTTCAATCACAGTCAGAGGCGTAGCGACCCTTCCCGGCGCCCGGGGACAAACTTTTCGATTTGCACCCCCCCCCCTCAAGATTTCGATTTGCAGCCACCCCCCCCCCCCCAATCGAGATTTCGATTTGCACCCCCCCCCCCCTCAAACTTTCGATTTGCACACCCCCCCCCCTTGAGATTTCGATTTGCAACCCCCCTCGAGATTTCGATTTGCATCCCCCCTCAAACTTTCGATTTGCACAACCCTCCCCCCTCGAGATTTCGATTTGCACCCCCACCCCCTCAAATTTTCAATTCGCACCCCCCCCCCTCAACTATTCAATTTATTTTTCCAACCCATTTTGGCGCCCCCTTAGGTCGGCGCCCGGGGACATATGTCCCCCCCCCCCCTCGCTACGCTACTGATCACAGTGCACATACATTCATAACTAAATGGATATTAATTGAACAGGACCGAATTTTTTTTAATTGATAAATTTTTGAGTGCAAATTAAATACTCTGACCAGGGGCGTAGCGAGGGGGAGGCAGGGGTGCGAACCGCACCGGGTGACACCATTTAGGGGGGTGACACCAAGGCAAAAAATAGCAAAATATTTACAAAAAATATTAATTTCACGTAATTGAATAATTAATTAGAGTGCTCTTTTAAGAGCAAAGTAAACAAATCCTGACACAAGTGGAGGGGGGGGACGACACCATGACGTAAACCTGAATTTATAACCGATTATAGATACAAATCGTTAGTATTATCTGAGCACAGTTTAAAGCAATCACCGTGGGGTGACGGGGAGGGGGGAGTTAAATCAACTCAACCTTGCAATAAATATGCCTGGGGAAAACGGCTTGGTTGAAAATCGTGATAACCTATATGTTAATCCGTGTATGGGATAATATATATATAAATTATATATATATATATATATATATATTTGAATACACATAGTCATGCGTATACACATACTTACAAGTGTATATGGAATATATTTGTATATTTTATATATATATATATATATATATATATATATATATATATATATATATATATATATATATATATATATATATATATATATATATATATATATATATATGGAGATATACTTATATTTTTTTCTTACAGAGGGGGGAGGAGGTGACACCATTAGGTGCCGCACCGGGTGACACCCGACCTCGCTATGCCACTGACTATGACCTATAAGTAGGCTTGGAACACAAGCAACAAAATTATTGTTTCCTTTAGACTTTTTTCTCCAAGGTGGGGGGGGGGGGGACAAGAGTAAAAGCATATATTTTCTATATAAATTCTATTTCATCCTGGGGTGGGGCCGAAGAGATGCCTGCAACACTGCAAGAAACTTAACTACCTGCCTGCAGTGTTTCTTTCAGACTTTTTTCTCAGGGGGGGGGGGGGGCACTTGATATTTTCGGGGGGGAAGACACTAGTAAAAGTATATTTTTACTATATACACTCCATCTCATACAACCACTCACCCAACTCAAAACTTAGTTTTTTAACTGCTGTGGTACAACCACACCCCCAACTCAAAACTTTGTTTTTTAACTGCTGTGGTACAACCACACCAACTCAAAACTTAGTTCTTTAATTGCTGTGGTACAACCACACCCCCAACTCAAAACTTAGTTTTTTAACTGCTGTGGTACAACCACACCCCCAACTCAAAACTTTGTTTTTAATTGTTGTGGTACAACCACACCCCAACTCAAAACTTAGTTTTTTAACTGCTGTGGTACAACCACACCCCCAACTCAAAACTTAGTTTTTTAACTGCTGTGGTACAATCACACCACCAACTCAAAACTTAGTTTTTAATTGTTGTGGTACAACCACACCCCTAACTCAAAACTTAGTTTTTTAACTGCTGTGGTACAATCACACCCCCAACTCAAAACTTAGTTTTTTAACTGCTGTGGTACAACCACACCCCCAACTCAAAACTTAGTTTTTTAACTGCTGTGGTACAATCACACCCCCAACTCAAAACTTAGTTTTTTAACTGCTGTGGTACAATCACACCCCCAACTCAAAACTTAGTTTTTTAATTGCTATGGTACAACCACACCCCCAACTCAAAACTTAGTTTTTTAACTGCTGTGGTACAATCACACTAACTCAAAACTTAGTTCTTTAATTGCTGTGGTACAACCACACCCCCAACTCAAAACTTAGTTTTTTAACTGCTGTGGTACAACCACACCAACTCAAAACTTAGTTCTTTAATTGCTGTGGTACAACCACACCCCCAACTCAAAACTTAGTTTTTTAACTGCTGTGGTACAACCACACCCCCAACTCAAAACTTAGTTTTTTAACTGCTGTGGTACAATCACACCCCCCAACTCAAAACTTAGTTTTTTAATTGCTATGGTACAACCACACCCCCAACTCAAAACTTAGTTTTTTAACTGCTGTGGTACAACCACACCCCCAACTCAAAACTTAGTTTTTTAACTGCTGTGGTACAATCACACCCCCAACTCAAAACTTAGTTTTTTAACTGCTGTGGTACAATCACACCCCCAACTCAAAACTTAGTTTTTTAATTGCTATGGTACAGCACAATACACTGTATGCCAACAAGAAGACCAGAAAGGTTGTGTTTTGAGTACCTACTATCAAAAGCTGAGTCCCCTTTTAGTGTCACATGATGATCTGATTGTAAACATTCTTCATCAAGTCACTAACTAAAAGGAAATCAAACTACCACCAGATCTGAAAGAATACATCTTTAATGGTCCACTTGACATCAACACCAAGTTGAGAAATTAAAATACAAATCCATACAAATCCAGCAGAGATAAAACAAGATTTTAAGTAAAAAATTCTTAATTTTTTAGCAAAAGAAGTACACAATACAATTCACTAAGTTAACTTATATTTAAAAAATGTCATTACACAGCAGAAATATATTAAGTTTTTTATAAGAACTAAAGCTGACCACTGGAAGTACATGTTTAAAATACAAGCAACCAAAATGCTGAATTAATACTGGTTGAAACAAAAGCTAAATTTACTAGCATTGTACTTGTAGAATTAGCAAATAATTGTTCAGATGATAAAGCTATTAGACCATAGGAGATAAACTTGACAGAATCTTCATGTACTGCACAGGGAGGGAAGGGGTCTAAGTTAGAGGTCAAATGTAAAATTTATTCCAACAGATGCCAAGAGTGAAAAGTTGAATGAGGGTTGAAAGTTGAATGAAGGTTGAAGAAAGTTAAGTTTACTGTAGGACTGGGAGGTATCTAGATCTATACTGCTTGTAGCTAGACAAAGAAAGTCTTACAACATAAGTAGGTGTTGAATTTGTCAAGAGATATCTACACTGGCTTGTAATTGCAACACACATATAAAGTTTTCTTAAGTCTTATGTAGGTGTTGTTTTGATATTTATACTTGGCTGTAACAACTAGCCCTCTGTAGTAAAGTTCCCTTATATGGGAAAGTGAAGTAGAGTTCACCTGTTTCTGTGACCTACAGCAGCATTTTATAAGAATTTGTTGAATTATTTATTCAAGAGTTATCAGAATGTTTGATTAAAGAATCAACAGATTTATTTACTTACAACTGGTGTCCATGTGTCAGTAGGACCTTCAACTATTTACAAAACTATTTTGTGAACAGATCATGTTTAACAACAACATTATTAAAACAAAAAGATTGTTTGGGGTTATTCAATAAATAAAATTGATAAAAATGTATCACAGATTAAAACAGTGTGTTAAAGCATTTAGCTTTAGTTGTTTTTTTTTTTACATTTAGCTGGGTTTGTTTTATAACAATCAGATTCACATAAAAACATTGTGCACCAAACTTTGTTCCCAGAGTCTTTGCCCAGGCAACATAACTGGTCCCAAGTTTGACAAAATTAACAAAAGCTGGTCCCAAGTTTGACAAAATTAACAAAAGCTGGTCCCAAGTTTGACAAAATTAACAAAAGCTGGTCCCAAGTTTGACAAAATTAACAAAAGCTGGTCCCAAGTTTGACATAATTAACAAAAGTTGGTCCCAAGTTTGACAAAATTAACAAAAGCAGATCCCAATCTAAATAACGGAATATAAAAATATTTAAAAATGAAAATGCATGAAGCCAACTATTACTTTATGATAGTAACTTTGTTAAGTGATAAGTCATATACAAAAGGGACCAATAGTAGAAAAGGACCAGAAAATCCACACACCAAAAAAAGTTGACAATGAGTATTTTCTTTGACTAAATTAACTCTACAAGAATAATTAAATAAAAAAATAATCAGATCATGCATTAAAATAAATCCTTACAAAACATATAGAATAGTGGGACATTATTCTTTCACAGGACCCGGATTCTAACCTTGCGTAATGACCATTCATTGTTGGATAATGGGTTGGAAAAAATCTGACTTAAAGCAGAAGAATAGTGGTTGATTGACAACTAATTGAGAAGTAATACTACGCAAAATTATTAGATCTGTTTTAACTTTTAGTCAAATGTGAAAAATTGCGTAAAATGTATAACCCTGTCTAAGGTTATAGGAACAGCGTTGTTAGATGAACAATTTGTTTTAAAAAATTTAATTTCTACTATCTAGCAAATAGAATGCTAGTTACATGTAGATAACAAACATGAGATATACTGCAAGTGTTTAAAAATAAACAAAATGTGACACCTATTTAGAGAACTTTCATTGATTTCTAAGAATAAAGATATTTAAAAACTACAGTTAATTAAAATTTCATCTACAAGATGCTGGATATTTTATAACATGGCAAATATATATAGTGAACACAATGGTGGATAATTTATGTCTTAAACAATCTAGATACAAATTTACAAGAGGAAATTGTGCAGAGGGGCCCACGTTATCATCAAGTTGGCTGAATACAAACTCAACACATAGATGAAAGTTTACACGTAAGCTGATGTACTCAGAGATTTGACTGACAATAAAAATAAGAAATGTTTTCCATGGGGCAAACAGGCTTACTTAGCCAAGATTTTAACAAAAATTAAAGGTATTTTTAGGTTTTTCCAGGTGGAAACTATACACCTCAAGGACATCCTACTGTACATCAAAATTGAAATAAAGATATTTTTATGATTTTGCTCATCAACATTTTCCTCAAAGGGAAAAGTATGATTTCCTTAGAAACATGGAAACCTTACATCACGGAATATTACATTCTTGTAGTAAAATAGTAAAATGTATAAAAACATTTCGTTCCTATTCATAATTTATTTTTAAATTCAAAGATGTAATAATATAATAGTTTGGACTAAAGTTGGAATGCAAGTTAGTATGTAGTCAGATCTTAAATGACAAAATAAGCACCGTTATGTCAAATATAAAATGATCTGAAAAGTAACCTGTTTAAAATTATCTAATGATCCACATCTACCTCAACTACCAGCAGTATGTGACACTTGCCAACAATCAAAGACAAATATGAAACATGGTGCATGAGCAGAACACTGCTATGCCACCACTCAACCTTGGTTGATGCTAATTATTACAATGCCAAATGGTCGAAAAATTTGAATCCAATAACTCTGTGGCATTTAACTTTTTTCAAATTACAAAATTTGAGATTTAACAATATTAAAGAACATTAAAAACATAAACCTTCAAATAAGATACAAACAAAAAATAATGAACATCATAGAGTAAATCTGCACACAGCAGATACACATGAGGTAAGTTAAAAACCTGAGAACACCATCAAGAAAAATGATTGTATTAAGTGCAAACAATTTGGAATTTAAAGACTCAGCTATTAAAACCCTGATACAGCAGTAGCTATGTGTAAAAAGAAGTTAAAAATCCTAATTGCTTAGATCTAACTAGATTAAAAGAGCTAACTTACCTGAACTATACACTAATAATCTAAAATTATATGGAAAATTAATCTCAAAGTTTTTTGTTCAGTTTTGTCATCCAACAAGGTTGCCTACTTTGTCTGCATGTCCTGGACATACAGCGAGGTCAGCCTCGTGGCTAGGCCTTGTACAGTGTCCAGTTCCTTCTGACACTCACTGATCTCCTTGGTGGTGACCACTACATTTTTATCAATGGCCTCAATGTTATCCAAATACTGGCTCAGTGGCAAAACCTTGTTGCCGGTTAATTCACTGAGCTCTGCCAAAAGTTGCTCCGACTCACGCAAGGCGTTTTCAAGCCTCTCCTCGTCCAGATCTCGCTCTGCCTGGTCTTGTGAAATGTAAATGTCTTTGGTCGGGAGCTGATGGCGTGTCGTGTCTAAAGCCGAGCACAGCCGGCTGTAGTCTTCCTCTAGCTGGGGTATCACTGACATAACAGCAGTTAATTCCTGTTCCGTCTTGTCTAAGATTTCATCCAATAAATTTCCCCTCTTCAACCGAGTGACATCCATCTCTTGGGCGGAGCTGTCTTCACGCTTACACTCCACCAGCTTCCACAGCCCGTGGAGCTGTGCTATGGCATCTGCCTCCTGCTCCTCAAACAGCTTCTTGGCTTTGCTGTTCAGGAAAGCCCATTGCAGATAGCGGGTGTACTCAAGGTCTAGTTCAAGTTGAGATGGAGTTTGGCTACCTTCGTTGTTGGCTTTCATGCTCTTTAACACTGGTTTAGGTTGTGGTGCCTTTAAGGATTCAATGCGATTGTCATAACGATCGACTTCCTGGTGGGCTGTCCCAACGGTGCTCATGTTGATGGACATGGTGGATAGAGACTGGATGGCGGATGCATCAATATCGTGAGGGAAGTGAGAGAGCTGGTCATGGGTGGGGGTGGATGTTTTACAATCCAGCTGTTCCTGGTTGCTTACCTGCGGGCTCTCGCTCCTAACAAAGCTGACTAGAGTTTCATGTTGATTGTTACCTCGGGCTAGCTGAGACGTTGCAAGTCGTGGGCTGTCTGTGCCTCTCACATTTTTTGAAGCCAGGCTCCTCCCAGAGCCAGATTTAGAGGCTCTGAGATCTGGTTTAGAGCCAATATGCCTGGCTCTTGTCAATTTGTTGGAGCCACTTTGATTCAGTTTTATAACTGGCTGTGTAGGGCCATCTGTGCTTTTAGAAGAAAGAACGGTGGCACTGACTGTTTTATTCATAGAGGTCTGCATGTAGCGAGAGGGAACAATCCTTGTGGTTTTCTTTTTATGTTTAGAGGATACGTTAGCATTCTGTCTGTTAGACACAATCACTATGTCGGAATCTTGAACGGCTGGTTTTGCTTTTCCTTTACTTGGCGTGACGTATTCATCCAGTGAACAGGTTTCTGATTCAGAATTTTCTTGCTGTGCTTGGGCAGAAGTTTTCTCCTTGACTGGCAATTTGTCTACCGAGGTGTCTGAGTCCTCATCAAACTGGGGCTGAGGATAAGCAACTTTGTGCTCAAGTTTTGCTGAGCCAGCTGGTGATGGTGAATTGAACTTCTCTCGATTGGTTTCACCAGCAGACGTAAATGGGAGAGAGATATAACCTGGGGATGGCTGTGCTGATTCTGATAAAGTAAAAACATTGCCACTCCAAGGCTTGATGTGACTGACATCAGAGTTGGTACCAGCGTGACGAGGGGGTGAGGGGGTACCTGCGTGACTGTTAAGAGAAATAGCATCAACTGATTGCCCCAGATCTTCAACTAGAATTTCTTCTATGATGCCTCTGCTCTTTGCTGACGAACGTTCTTTTAACCCACTATCACCCTGACCCAGCTCCTTCCTCTTCTTGTTAAGGTTATCCTTCTCATTATGGAAAAGACTGCGCTGACTAGAACCAGCAGGAGACTGAATCTTGTGGACTTTGTCAACTTTTACAGCCCAATGCTTCACATTTTCCTGATGCCGAGGAGAACTGTAGCCTCTGTTAGCTTCAGAGCGAAAAGATTTTTCAAGTTTACCTGGGGTGTGACAGACCACTCTGGCGGGGGAGTTCTCGTAGCCAACAACCACCTCAACTTCTGCACTGTTTGGGGAGGTGCCAAGATGAGATGCATCAAAAACTATAACGGACTGTGGAGCTTCAACATCAGAAGTTTCACTTCCCTCAAAATCTGCATCTGATAAATCTAGGCACCTAGAAGGTGGTTCAGGCCGTGGTGACATATTTTCTGTAACTTTTGGGACATACTTCATTGGGCTAATGGTTGGATCCATAACATCCTCTGAAAAACAAAAAAAAAAGTTTGTAAAAGAAATAATGTCCTATTACATCTAAGCAAGCCTCTCAATGCTTTAGAAGGAATTAGTGAGAGCCGGCCGACTACAACTGGACTTAGTATTAGCTGACTTATAAATTACCACATGTAGGGTCTACTAATTTATTGTGTTTTTAAATTTGACAGTAAAATTTTTATTGATTTGATGAATTTTAATTAGGCTACCAACCAATCAAACGCACATTCTCTCTGCCTTTTAGTTGACGGCTGACATCACATGACGCTTTTTGGAGCAAAAAAAAGGGCTGAAAAGGCCATTTTTAAAATGGGCCCTTAAATGACCCTTTTTAAAATTGGAAATAGCAATTTTTTCGAAGAATTAATTTAAAAAAGGGCCTTTTTGAGTTATGTGTCTATGTAAACAACGGCCCATGTCAACACGTGTCAAACCATGTGGTTTTCGTACTTTCTCGTGAACTAAATACCAGTTTCTTGACAACAAATTGTAAAATGATTTTATGAAAGTAAAGACCCTAGGGGAATGGCTTTTGAAGATTATTAACTAAAAATCTGTGTATTGGGTACATGTGTTGATTCTAAAGTTGTCTAAAATTTACCTAGTAAGGCATGCTGAAACAGCGGCCTTAGGGCGCCATGTAGTGTGTAGCATTAATTAAATGTCAATCCCGTTAGCCTAAAAATATTTGGAAACACATTTTAGTATTATTGTAAGTACAGCCAATTAATAATATTATAATATAATGATACTATCGGTAGCTGCTACTTTGTGCATGACATCATTCCAATAGCTCACCGTGATTGTAATCTAGGCTTGACAAAACTCGCATCGCCAAGCAATCTTAAGACAATAGACCTAAATCCTTGGTAGTTGCTAGGCTAACAACTAACAAACATTAAATTTGAAATCGTGAAAATACCACTCCTTGACCTTGATTTTCATTAGAGCCTGGTTTTTGTTTGAAAAAAAAAGTTCCACAGCATGCGCCAATGTCATCCAAGGCCAACACAACTGTGGATTTTTTTTCCAATGAGTATTTACCCTATCCACCCGCCCCATCATGGCATTTTTTTAAAATTGGGGTTAAAAGTTCAAGAATGGTAGAGGGTGGTATTGAAACAACGAAGCTGTTAATAGTAATAATAGTACAACTATTACTAAAAACATATAGTCCTACTAGGGGTCAGCATGGTCGAGTCGGTAAAGCTCATGGTTGCTAAACCGAAAAGTCTAGAGTTCAAACCCTCGGGCAGATGAGGCTCGTTAGCTGGGGACAGCCACTCTTCTAAGAGAGACAACTCCAAAATCAAACAAATGCTGCCTTGTGGTTTGTTCTTGGTTGGACAAAGGCTATGGAAGCAAATTCAAAAAGAAAAGCAGGCTGAAATCTGAGTCAATGGCATCAATGGCCCATAACCAGTTGACATGTATCCTTAGTTGTGATGGAGGCGTGGTCGAGTCGGCAAAAGCTCATGGTTGACAAATTCGAAAAAGTCTCAAGTTCAAACCCTCTGGCAGATAAGGCTCAATCCCTTCCAACACTAAAAATTAAGAATGAAGAAGAAGAAAGAAGATAGTCCTACTGGTATACCATCATACAGGAAATATGTAATCTCAGTATAAAAATTAATTCGGCCCAGTTAATTAACTATTTAAATATCGCTAATGATACGATGGTAGATAGTTTGTTTAGGTTAAGGCACAATACACAACACTGCGTGCGTGGTATGTGGCCTGACAGATTGAAAGGAGATTGTTTATATTATACGAGCCGGCCCGCGGCATAACATACGCCGCTATTTAGTTGTTTCTAATTTTCAATAATTCATAATTTGTGAATTCGACAGTACCAACGCTGACACTGAAATTATTTCTTTAAAACACTATAAGTAGCTCGTTAAGGACCATAGATCTAAATTAAAGGTAATCTATCGTTTTGGGTACGTAAAATCGCCCGCGGCTATTTATGTACGAAAACGTTACCTCATTGTCAAGGCTTTAATAGAAGTATATTGTCATACTTTTGTGTCAAATATTATAGATAAATGAATAATAAACCTAAATCAATGGCTAAATATATCGATATAGGCCAGAAATTAACTTTAAACAGCAGTGTCTGAGAGCAAGATTTGCTATATAAACAGCAGCCATTTGTAAAATAGAGTGGCTTCCCCCTGAATCTGGCGCTAAAAGCTTATAAAAATAAAACTTAGACAAGATGGCTGCTATAGTAAATGAGCATGGTTGCATCTGTTGGAAACATCGCTAGTCTTCAATCTTCATTTATTACGGAAAAGTTTTAATTCAATTGTTTAAAATCAGGTACATAAATGAATCAAGGAAACATTTTTTAATTTTTTAATACATAAATCCTCCTCAAAATGTGAAATAATTTTTAAAATTTAAGGAGTCACCTGTTTTTCACATTACAAATCGCGGGCGATTTTACGTACCCAAAACGATAGATTACCAAATTAAAATAGATCTAGATCTAAATTAAAATAGATCGATAGGCCTAGCCTACAAATCTTGATAAAATATTTAAAATTCCACCTGGACAAAGCTTCATGAATATTAATTAGGGTAAAACTCCATTTCAGCGTATTTTATTCTCCGTTGCTTGTTTACCTCCAGTTGAGCGTATTTTATTATAACAACCGAAACACACCAAAACATTAGGAAAACACGATTTATTTTTTGTATTGTATTTTTGTTTTAGCAAATGAATAAAAATGAATATTTAAAAAAACACGACTTGTTTATTTGTATTGTATTTTTTTAAAAAAAAGGCATTTGTCTCATGGTGAAACTGATACACTGTTAATCATTCTGTTTTATATTTTTGTATTTATGCAACAAATGTACAAACTCTGTGTTTTTTAATTTGACAGTTTTGCTAAAACTGAAAAAAATTATTTTACTATAGAGTTGTATGTTATTTAAATTCATAGTAAATCTACCATCCTTCCCTTTTTTGTATGAGTAAATTTCTGACTTTTTAAAAAAAATTGATGTGGGGTCGTCCATAAATGACGTCACACTCGTAAGGGAGAGGGGGGTCAGCAATTTTGTGACGGTGTGTGATGAGGGGGAGGGGGTGGGGTTTCAGATGGTGTGACGTCCCTTTTTTGCATTATAAAAAAGCAATGTTAGAAAAACAAGTTTTAGCCGTTATTTCACGTTTTAGAAAACGGTTTTAATAAATTGTAATATGAATTGATCAAAATACTCTATGTTGACAGAGTTCTGACAAGATTTTGGAAAAATTATCGATGTTTTAAGACAAATTCAACAGAAATTTTGAGGGGGGGGGGGGGTTGTAGGCTGAAGTGTGACGTCATTTTAGGGGAAGGTCTGACTTTTTGTGACGACGTGTAACGGAGGGGAGGCGGGAGGTAAAAATCGTAAAAAAAAGCGTGTCGTCACAAAAAGCAAGACCCCCCCCCCCAAAAAAAAAAATGACGTAGCACCATCTGAAACCCCCCCCCCCCTTCATCACACACCGTCACAAAATTACCTCCCCCCCTCCCCCTACGAGTGTGGACGACCTCTAACATTATTTTTTTTAAAATGACAACGTGAGTTGTCACACTTTCTCTAACACTCCAAGCCATCCCTCACCAAATTCCACCCCCCCCCCCCCTCGGCCCACTTTCGGCAGCATCATTGTGCCTTTTAATACTTTTATTCAGTTTAGTTGAAATTGGAACACTTAATTGTACAAAGTGTGCATCTCTATTTTTGTAACCAACAAACAAAGCACTTCAGTCAGTCTCTTTGTTGTTTTTTATTCATTTGTTAAAACAAAAATACAATACAAATAAATAAGTCGTGTTTTTTAAACATTCATTTTATTCATTTGTGAAAACAGAAATACAATACAAAAAATAAATCGTGTTTTCCTAATGTTTTGGTGTGTTTCGGTTGTTATAATAAAATACGCTCAACTGGAGGTAAACAAGCAACGGAGAATAAAATACGCTGAAATGGAGTTTTACCTTAATTAGATCTAGGGCCTGATAGAAATCGAGTAATAAAATAGAAGTGTTTTAGTTTTTGCCGCCAACAATATCAACAACAATAACAACAAATTAACAAAACTTCAAATTTCACATGAGCCGCCGGTGGCTCTTTTTTTTCACATTTATCAGAGCCTACCTGTTAATTGGCCTTGAACAAGACGACTTCCATTGTTGTTACTACTGGATACACTGTCGGAAACTAGTCTACCCTGTACTAAAGGTTTCCGTGCTTTCCTCTGTCCAACATTGGTTTTAGGAGCAGGATGATACAAATTTCTTTTAGTCGCCATCGCAAGACCGAACTAGCTAAACACCGAAATCTTAGATAAACATAGCTGACACTGAAAGCTGGACTGCTAGTAGATTCTAGATCTAGAATCTAATACTAAACTGTTGTTTGGGTTGGGTTGGGTTGGGTTTTTTTTTGTTTTTGTTTTTTTGTTGTTTTTTTTTATTTATTTATCTTTTTTTTTTGTCTCTTCAAATCTAGATCTAAATGATAGTGATGAAAAAATATGATTTTTATTTTTTTTTGTTCTTTCAATTAGCCTTACCCAGGCTTACTAACTGTAAAAACGGTTAATAAAACAATTCAAAGTCCTAGAAAAGCGTTAAGTTTGAGTACCGAATTATTGTATTTGTAAACAAAAAGGCTCTAAAAAACTAAAAATAGATATACTCTAGAAAAGTTTAATGAGAACTTCCTAACTATTTGCTTACAATTATTGTTTAACAAGATCTAGGCTACACGATGTAAGCTAAAAAAAAAAATAAAGATAATGTTCCGACCGATCAGAACGGGTTTGTTGAGGTCATTGGACAACATTGAACTCAACCAGAGTTTCTTCCAGGCATCTCTTCCCCCCCCCCCCCCCCCCCGCACCAATCGAAGAAAGTCTACCACCCCCACCCACCCCACCCCGAACGAAATGGAATTTAAATAGAAAACATACTTTTACCAGTGTCCGCCACCCCCCCCCCCCCCGGAAAATGTTGACCGCCCCCCGAAAATATCAAGTGCCCCCCCTCCCCCGGAGAAAAATGTCTGGAAGAAGCACTGAACTCAACTGTATCTGCCCCATGTGTCTTGGGCACGAATCGGAAAAGAAGATGAGAAGGCCTATATCCCTGTACTCCTAGATCGATAGGATTTAATAGGACTGGCCTAACGGGTCGTCCATAAGCTAGATGATGTTTTTTTTTTTTTTAATCGACTCATTTCTTTAAAAAGTCAGACTTCGATCATTAAATGACGCGTCACACAAACACACACACACACACACACACACACATATATATATATATATATATATATATATATATATATATATATATATATATATATATATATATATATATATATACACACCGTGGTCTCACAGTAGAGTGAACAACTGCTACCCCAAAAGTCTTAAGTTCGTGTCCCGGACTCGAGTCCAACCAGCCTTATATTCAGGAAAATAAAGTTTTTGTTTATATTCAGGAAAATAAAGTTTAGTGGGTAATGACCAGTGTTTCTTTCAGACTTTTTTCTTTCTCTGGGCGGGAGGACGGACTGTATTTTCCGGGGGGGGGGGGGGGCACACTGTTGAAAGTATAAATTTTCTATATGAATTCTCTTTCGTTCGTTCGGGGGTGGGCGGTATACGTGCCTCGTGCCCCAAAGTGATGCCTGAAAGTAACTCTGGCATAGAACTGACTCCATCATAGATTTCAAAATCCATATTAATAAGCTGGTATAGCTAAGAAATTCGTGAGCTATACTTCATCTGCCCTAAGCTAATGACAGCCATGGGCTGGAGATCGCCAACTGGTAGACTAATATTTTTTTTTCTTTTTTTTTTTGCAGTTTTATGGAGGTTGTGGGTCACTTGGCTTTTGTTTATAAAAAGGGGATCGCCATTAGAAAAAAAATGTAAATCGTTATGAAAATGTAACTTTACTTTCTATTTTAATCAGAATTGTTGGCAACTGTACGAAAACAATACTTAACTAGTAGTACCTTCGATTCGAAACATCGACTATTAGATTCTATCATTTATTTATTACCATATCAAATTATCTGTTACCAGATTCAAAAGCTGTGCAAACTGTCTCAAAATGAATTCTCATGCTTTACCTGGCAAGTTTCGATTCTCGTTGGAAAATATAAATAGACACGTTACTAACTAGTTAACACGACGTGCTGATGATATTATTGTACACTGATACACGACATAGATTCTAGATCTATTCTGTGTGTAAACTGAAACTAAATCAATTCAAACAACTAAGATTAATAATAATATCTTTAAATGTAATTATAGATACTTGTTTTTAGTGTTGTTTGTGAAGTGTAGTCAGTCTGGGGAGGGGGGGATCATCAAAAATCAAATGCAACTGCAAAGCAGTTAAATAAAGCAAACAATTGCAAGAAGATTGCAAAAAAACGCTGATAACATTTTTTTTTCACAATTGATCTCAAACAGCCTGGCAGGCTACAATCTGGTAAATTGCTGTAACTGCAAGAAATTCTGATGGGCAGATAATTGATCAACATCTCCTTTCTTATTCTGCAGACTTTGTATTATTTGTTTGTATTATTTGTCTTTCACTGATTCCACCAAATATTTAGCAGCATAAAAATTAAGCACTGAATTATCTTAATTTACAACATTATAGCATTTGTCTACAATATTACATCGATAGTTAGTTTTCATTGCCAAACTGTTTTACTATAAAGTCATAAAAGGTTCATATAATTTGTCACAGACTGTATAATTATGTATCCTTATTATATTGTGTTTTGCATGAATGAAGAGTACCTGGCTAGCGGAAGGACTGTCTGAGCGATCGTCATGTGTTTGTCCATGCTTTTGGGTGAGATCGCTCATTGTACGTAAGGGGAGAGAAAGTAGTGAATAAAAGGGAGAGCGAAAGGTGAACGGGTGTTGTGTGCTAGAACTTGAACCTGAAGACTGTGGCTGTGAATGTAGGATGTTACTACGACACTTTGTTTCTTGACTGTGATTGTACTTATACCAGTTGTGACCATGGATTTACTATGGATCTATTAATTCTCTGTACAAAGTGTAAATAAAGTTATTTGTTTCACAACTACTGTTGCTCGTATGAGTATATTGAAGAACCCACAATAACAACAAAGAATACATGTTGTTACATATGGTGTCAGAAGTGAGCGTCTACTGTTACATATGATGTCAAAAGTGGTTGAAGAAGTGGTGCTACTGTTACTGATTCTACTGTTACATTGTCAGAAGCAATTGAAGAAGTGATGTTGTTACATTGGTAAATTATATTGAAGTCTGAAATCGTCAACGAAGTTACAGTGTTACTACAAGTGATCAAGAATTGTCACATTATCATTGTAAGCAGTTTTCAACGTTTTTGAAGTGGTCTTCCACTGTTTACCAAGTACGTCAAGTTCTTGAAAGTCATCTATCTACACTCAAGTCAGAAGGGTTGCTGTAGTCAAGTCAGACGTTTTGTTCAAGTCAAGTCATCAACGTGATAATTTTTATCACCTTATTTCGATATTGTCTCACCAATGTCGAGTAAATATCGTCTGTGTGTTTTTTCTGTTTGGATTTAGCCGATCAAGTCTTAGTGTTTCTTTTCTACTGTTTGGATTTAGCTGTTCAAGTTTTTTCTATATGGATTAGCTGTTCAAGTTTTTCTACTGTTTGGATTTAGCAGATCAAGTTTATTTTTGTAACTGTTCCTAAACTGTTCCTAAAGATGTCTTATCTAAAACTGGACAAATTTCTACTCTGTAACAGGCTACTAGAACTATTTTGAATTTTTTCAACTTTTTGGAATCAACAAAGTGAACTATTTTTGTACTATATATGTACTATGAACTTTTCTTGGATTACTAGATGTCTCTAATCAACTGAACAAAGCCAGAATACAAGAAAGGGTATTGTAAATTAATTAACATTTATCTATTGTCAACTAATGAATTTATATTTTATGTCATAGAAAATATATCAAAATGTCAAATTTTGAAACATATACAGCACTTGTGAAGGAACTTGACATTCCGAAGGAAGACAGGTTGGCATTTATAAAAGAACTACTAAAGAAAGATGAAGAGAAAGCTGCTAAAGAGAAAGCTGAGAGAAAAGAAGAAGAGAAGGCTAGAGAAGAAAAAGCTGCTAAGGCGAAAGCTGAAGAAAAAGAAGAAGAGAAGGCTAGGAAGGCAGAAGAGAGGGCTAGGAGGTTAGAGGAAAGGAATTGGAAAATAGAAGATGATGAAAGAAAGCACAAGCATGAAACAGAACTTGAAGAATATATGGAAATGGCGAGGGCGCAAGGCATTAAGAAGATGAATAAGCAGATAGCCTGGGCAACCAATCGACTTGCAAGAGACATAGAAGAAGCAAAAGAAGCATGGGACGAAGTACCAGAACAACCCCGACGAGCTCATGGAAATGTATTGAGAGAACTAGATGATGTGATAGAAATAGTGTGTAATAGATCAAGAGCTATTACAGATATGCATAAAGAAGAAGACATTTCAGAATTAGATAAAGTAGAAGAGACTGTACAACCAAAAGGAAAGCGGAAAAAAAGAAACAGAAAACAGAGAGCAGATAAAAGGGCTGAAACTATGGAAAAACAAGTTGGCCTACATGAACTAGCATATGAACAAGAACTATTAGAAATGAAAGCTATAACAGACACAAATGAACCAAAATTAGAAAGTGAACAGATAGAATTAAAAGCAGAACTTGAAGAAGTAAATATTGGCAACCTTTGGAATGAAGAACAGAGTAACATAGTCCAGGAAGAATTGAAACCCAAGGAAAAAACAGAGGGTGAACTTAATAATGATTTAAAGGTGACAGATACATTAGAATGTCTTAAGATTGACTCTTTATTGAATGATACGCAGGTACACGAGAATATTAGTGAAAGCTGTATCGTAAGTCCATCAGAGAATGGCAGTCAAAAAGAAATAAGTCCATCAGAGAATAGTAATCAAAATGATTTAATAAGCCCATCAGTCAATGGCAGTGATGATTTAATAAGTCCATCGGAGAATGGCAGGAATCATGATAAACTAATGATGATTAATGAATCAGTGAACTTAATAAGCCACAATGAAGAGAACGTACCTATTGAAGATTTACTTCGAAAATTGGAGTCAAACTATAAAGAAGATATACTAGAACTCAAGGATAAATTTAACAAAGAAATGGAGAAATTAACCCAGAAATTTATGTGTGAACTAGAATCAATAAAGAAGCACAAGGAAGTTAAGAAAGATGAAACAATATCTACAAATTACAATGTTAATAAAAATGCACAGAATGAAAGTAAAAGAAATGTAACAAACTATGAATACAGTCAACATGTTAATAAGAATGTCATTAATGTCATTAATGCACAGAATGAAAGAAAAAGAAATTTAGCAAACTATGAATACAGTCACCATGTTTATAAGAAGCCAAAATCTAGATGTTTTTACTGCGGAAAAACAGGTCATTACCAAAATCAATGTTGGCATAGGTTGGCAAATCAGAGAAGAAACAATTATTATGTACAAAGAAAGTCATGTGAAAAATACAGTAAGTTAAGAAATAATGTATCAAGTTCTAATGAAAGATACCGAAGCAAGATGTATTATGAGCGGCCAAAGCAATGCCATAATATTTATATCAAGTTGGTTGATGAACCAAACGAACGTTTACAAAGCAAGATAACTACTGACGTTGTTCAGAAACCAGAAGAGAATATTAAAACAAATGAAGTAACACAAGTTACACGAATTCTAGGAAATAATTATGGTAGCACAGCTAAAAGCTACAATTTGAGGGAGAGATGGCATACGGGTCATCGTCAACTGCACGAGAACGATTACTCATGCTATAGAGGATGCTAAGATAAATTATCAATTGACAGTTTATTAATATTATACAGTCTGTAACTGTAAAATATGGATATCAAACAATTTGTATCAGTAATATAAATTGTGTACTATTTCAAAAGATTGTAAACTGTATTATGTTAAACCTATTCTATACTATTAATTAACAGTGAATAAAGTAAATCAAGTAAAAGTTAGAGACTATTATTCCGCATAACAATAAGACGGAAGTCTCAATGATGAATTGTGTGTTAGCCATACCTGTGAAAGGCAATGTTGTTGTGTTGTGACCTAGATTTGTCTGAAATGGGTCAACTAGGGGAGACAACAAAGTATATTAATCATGCGTCGTAATAACATGCCTTGATGATAAGGAAGTTTTTTTTACTACATAGGATATAATTATTTAATTCATGAGTTGAATTAAGTCTTTGATAATTTCAACTATGTATTATAGTTTGGTAATTCACTAAACTCATTTGTCTTGTTTATACAATTACTTGGTAATTGAAATGTTTTTCTTTCTCATATTTGAATACATTACACATAATGCTTGTGCATTAGTCTACAAAGAATGTATTTTTCCATGTTTTTGAGATGCATAAAAATTTTGTTGTCTGGCACATGATCCTGCCCTACCAATATTGTATTTATAAATTTTGTTACACAAAATTTTAATTGAAGGGGGGACGTGTCACAGACTGTATAATTATGTATCCTTATTATATTGTGTTTTGCATGAATGAAGAGTACCTGGCTAGCGGAAGGACTGTCTGAGCGATCGTCATGTGTTTGTCCATGCTTTTGGGTGAGATCGCTCATTGTACGTAAGGGGAGAGAAAGTAGTGAATAAAAGGGAGAGCGAAAGGTGAACGGGTGTTGTGTGCTAGAACTTGAACCTGAAGACTGTGGCTGTGAATGTAGGATGTTACTACGACACTTTGTTTCTTGACTGTGATTGTACTTATACCAGTTGTGACCATGGATTTACTATGGATCTATTAATTCTCTGTACAAAGTGTAAATAAAGTTATTTGTTTCACAACTACTGTTGCTCGTATGAGTATATTGAAGAACCCACAATAACAACAAAGAATACATGTTGTTACATAATTATTATACTTTGATGTTTTCTCATTTCTTTGCTTTTGGCCTGCCTCTGTTTTGTTTACCTGAAACTGTTCCTTGTAAGGAAGTTTTCATTAGACCTTGTTCGATGTCTGTACCACTTTAGTTGGGTTTTTTAAACTATTACCATCATGCTGACCAATCACACTTTGGATCATGTCATTGGTGCAATCGGTCAGCAATGCTCTGTGCTATGTTAACAGTGCGACCATGGTTGGCGAGACCACCCCAAGGGAGCGCAGCCATAAAGGAAAAAACTCTGGAAATAAACAAGTTTCTGAAGAAGATAAAAAGGCTTCATCAGTCACCAAGGAGGCTGGTAAAGTAAAGAAAGGGGATGAAGGAGGCAGTGGGGATGCAGGTCACAACTTGACAGCAGCTACAAAACAAGCCAAGTTAAAAAAGAAAACAAAAACAGACAAAGTAAAACTTCCTTTTTTTTTAGAAATAATAGTAAAATTAAGTAGACCTACTTAAAATGTAAAAATACTATAATAGGCATATTGTCCTAAAATGCTGACAGAAAATGTTTTGTATTTTGTCTAGGAAAAAGGGAGTGGAGGAAAAGGAGTTTTGCAGTTTATCGGCAGCAAAATAAAATACATTTTTCTGATCATCTTTGTTCCCCCTTTTCTTAATTACGCTTCCTTACAAAGGGAAACAATTGAACTAAAACCAGAAGGTTCATGCTTTTTAAATATGTTTTTCAAATAGTCTGTTTTAAGTATATACTAGTTGTGTTTCTATAAGTATACTAATCCTAACCCCTAAAAATAGATTTTTCTGGTGTTTATTCCATTTAAAGTTTGTACTGGTTTACCTGACTGACTTTTCAATAATTGTGTTGTACATTTTCAGGTGAGCTGTATGATATTGGTTGGGGTCAGAAACTGTTTTTATCATGTAAAGGAAAAGGTCCCCCAACAGGTGACTATTTATTTACTTGATCTGTTAAGTAGCATCTGTTAGCCAGCTTAGTTTTGTCTGATAACTTTGTCTTGATAATTGGGTAATCATAATAAAGACAATCAAAATAATAGTAATTTGAAGCATTGTACAAATTAAATCTGGTACACAACATTGTAAAATTGCTAGATATAAATTACTACCAGTCAATTTTAGCTTTATTTTTTTGCACTTGGTGGAATGAAATACTGTGTACTAACTATATTTTAATTATTGTGTTGGTGGGTTTAGAATAAAATTTCTTGTATATCTCTTGAACATAATGTATTTGCCAGGTAAATTCTGAAAAAGGAATATTTGCGTATCAAGAAAAAAACTAATTTTTTTTAAAATTTTAACAATAAAATATTGTTTGAATTCCTTCACCAGTGGTGTTAGATGCGCCTACAGGTCTAAGCTCTGATGTTTGGGCACTGATGGTAGAAAAATTGTCAGAGCATGCTAATGTAAGTACCTTACCTACACAGCAACAATGGCTGATTTTACTATATAAAACACCTTATCGAACAACACTTTTGAGCAATAAACCATTCTTTTCATTTAGTATGTGCTTACATTGAATAATACAACTTTCAGTAAAAAAAAAATAGTTTTTTATTTATTTTATAATTTAACTTTGATACTTTTCGGTTTTTTTTTTGCTAAATCAGAGTGAGTTTAGTTGTATAAGGTTTTCACACAATTTATTACTACACATTAAAAAAAATTTAAAATTTAAATTAAGTATCTTATGATAATAATACTTAGTTAAGCACAATGGACATAAGAAGTTTAATAGGTTTTATTTTCATTAATTTTTTTAGGATATTCTTTAATAACTCTTTATCTATATCTTTAGTTCAACGTTTTAAAATTCTTACCATTGTGATTTATAATTTAGGTCAGGGGTCTCCAAACTTTTCAGTCCGAGGGCCGCATTAACTATCAAATTTCAGTTCGGGGGCCGGTTAATTCCAAACATGTCTTTGATTTTTCTGGGCAAAGTTCCTCAGCCATCACCAACAAACGTTTTTCCGTGGACAAAAAGATCGCCGCGGGCCGGATGAGAGGACCTTACGGGCCGCATCCGGCCCGCGGGCCGTAGTTTGGAGACCCCTGATTTAGGTTAATGATTTGTAATTTAGGTTAATGATTTGTAATTTAAGGTTTGTGTGTATGACAGAGCTGGTTTAGGTTACAGTGAAAGACCTTTTGTGAGTATTTGTGTTAAGTTAGATCTTAGCCATTTTTGTTGTAGTAAAACAATGCAGCCTTGCTTTTATGTTTAGATTGCATGTTTGAGAACAATATATTTAATGCTATTATTTTTAGCCCCATTGAATGTAAGAAAATTATTTTTATCAATTTTTAACAGAACAAATCAGTACCTGAGCCTAACCCTAACAGTAATTTGTACGCAAGCCAGGTGGAAAGTTGGAATCCATTTACAGTTGAAAGGTTTGAGTTATTGACATAGTTAACTTGTTAAAGTAACTTCAAATTTAAAAAAAAAAAAACAACAGCGTAGTTAATTCTTGTTGATGCTGATATAAACTCCAGCCATAAAAATGCACCAAAAGAGCGTGCAATTTTTTTGTCTTGAGAGGCCTATGTAAACAAAACAGCAGTTTTCTTTATCAGTTTTTGTTACCAAATATTTCACGTAATATGGTCGAAAAAGATGATACTATAAATTAGTAGGTAGTCAAATATTTTATTAAAAAATGAATAGAAATAAGGTTTAATTGAATAGCCATGATAGTTAATAATAGTAGGTTATATTGTTCGTTGCATTTTTATCTTTATTTTCATCATCAAGATCAATCTATTTACTACTAATTTTAATTTATTTACTGTCTAGAATGGTAGACGACTTACACAACCTGATATCAAGTAGCAGCCAACAGCCGCGTCCACTTATCCTGGTTGGTGCTGAGCTTGGTGCTATTGTGTCCCAGTTTTATGCTCATCTCTATGAAAGGTACCCCACTTTCACCCTCATCTCTGTTATAGGTTTGTGTTAAAAGTTTTGTAAATAAGGCTGTAGGTTTTGTATTCTGTGTTCGGGAAAGTCTTAGTTGTATTATCAAAGTGTGTTCTTAATACTACAATGCCTTTATGTAATCGAGGTGGCTTAATTGTTCATTGTAAATGAGACTATAGTAGGACTGCAACCTTTTTGAGCATCACGATACCACACAGTGTATTGGTCCTATACAGGGTGGCATCTTTATGCTTGGACTCAGTGGCAATAATTAATTGAGGGGGGGGGGGGGGGGTCGGGGAGAATCAGAATGTATGCAAGTCAATTCATGAGGACAGAGTATTGGATAAAAATGTGTAGAGACTGATTTTGTGCAGGAAATGTTTCTGTTAGTCTTTGAAAATGATATCCTTAATTAGCACCTGTTGTAGAGAAGTTGTGTTGTAAACTTACAGGATTTGTGCTGATACTTATCTTCTGTTCACTATAGAAAAATGAAACTAAGTATTCTTTAATTTTCTGTAACATTACAAGTAAAATCTTCCTAGCACCAGATATGTTCATAAGAATTGTTACACTTATAGAGCTTCTATCACCAGTGATTGCATTCAATACATCACAGCTAACAATCAGACAGTCTTCATAACTTCATTTATAACACACATATTAGTAGTTCCTGAAACACTGTTCCAGACAATTTTTAGAACTTTGTTTTAAGGTTATCCAGAACTTCTAGTGCAATAATAAATGGTTATCATGGTTGTTATCCTGTGGTACTTGTTGTATATTTCAGTGAGATCTTAGGACTAGTGTTAATAATAAATGGTTGTCATATCCTATATAACCTGTTGTATGTTTCAGTGAGATCTAAGGACTAGAGTTAATAATAAATGGTTATCATACCCTATGGTACTTGCTGTATATTTCAGTGAGATCTTAGGACTAGTGTTAATAATAAATGGTTGTCATATGCTGTGGTACTTGCTGTATATTTCAGTGAGATCTTAGGACTAGTGTTGATCAACCCACTGTCAGAGGATCTGTTTCTGCAGCCTGAAGGAGCCTGGGTTCAACATTGGTATGGTGTCATTAATATTTTTTTTATTTTCATATCTACATTCTAGTTTCTCGGATTTATTAATAATATTCAGCTATATTTTAATTTTTTTTTACTAAAAACTATGTTTATTAATCTAGCCCGCAAAAAAAAACGGGAGTGATATCCCCTAAACTTTCTAGAATATTCTTATATAACTTGAAATATAGACATGATTTTTAATTACTTAAACTTTTAAAAATAGAATAGAATCTCATAGAAAACAGAATTGCGCACCAAGCGAACGCCAAAACAAAATGTGCATAATAGTGCGCAATATTATTAGTACTTTATAAATTTACATGCGTTTTTTGAGAAATCGAAAATAGCGTAAATTAATACTTCTGGTCAAAGGAAATTACTCAAAATTTGACAGAAGGCAGAGAATTAGATATTTTACTTACATGTGAAATTTCATTTATCTATCTGAAATAGTACTCAAGTTATAGGCTTTTGAAAATTTCAAAGTAGAAAAAGTACCACTTCCGGTTATCGGAAATCGCTCAAAAGTTGATCAGGATCTACGATTTTGATAAAATACTTATATATGAAATTTCATCAACCTAGCTGTAACGGTACTCAAGTTATCGTGTTTACACACAGACAGACAGACACACAAACATACAGACAAGATTGCAAAATTATGTTTTTTCGTACCAGTGAGATGTAAAACGTCGAGATTTGTAAAAATCTCTATTTTTTTTTTTTGCACGATTACAAGACTTTCTCTATACGAGAAAGTAAAAAGTTGTGTGTAGTGAATGGTTTAAAAAAATGTTTTGTAAATGTTGTTTCTATTAGTCAACTGAAATGTTTGTATCAGATTTGGAAGTTATCTGACATATGTAAAAAAGTTTGGAAGTTTGTCTTACTGTGATCATGTTTGTAAATTTGTCTCAGTGATATTTTTGTATTAGGTTTGTAAGTTTGTCTTTATTGACATGTTTGTCTCATTAAAATATTTGTATCAGGTTTGTAAGTTTGTTTCATTAAAATGCTTGTATCAGCTTTGTAAGTTTGTCTTATTGACATGTTTGTATCAGTTTTGTAAGTTTGTCTCATTAAAATGTTTGTATCAGGTTTGTAAGTTTGTCTTATTGACATGTTTGTATCAAGTTTGGAAGTTTGTCTCATTAAAATGTTTGTATCAGGTTTGTAAGTTTGTCTTATTGACATGTTTGTATCAAGTTTGGAAGTTTGTCTTATTAAAATGTTTGTATGTTTGTAAGTTTGTCTCATTAAAAAGTTTGTATCAGGTTTGTAAGTTTGTCTCATTAAAATGTTTGTATCAGGTTTGGAAGTTTGAGTCCCACCTACCAATCTCTTCAACTTGGGGCAGCTCTGGGCATCACAAGGCTTGGCCTACTATTGGGTGTCTTGAAGCAGCCAATCACTGGGGAGTCTATCCCTGAAGATGTCATTCTTAGACAGGTGAGTCAGAATTTTGGGGAGTCTATTCCTGATGATGTCATTCTTAGACAGGTGAGTCACATTTTTGGGGAGTCTATCCCTGAAGATGTCATTCTCAGACAGGTGAGTCACATTTTTGGGGAGTCTATCCCTGATGATGTCATTCTCAGATAGGAGAGTCACATTTTTGGGGAGTCTATCTCTAAAGATGTCATTCTCAGACAGGTGAGTCAGAATTTTGGGGAGTCTATCTCTAAAGATGTCATTCTCAAACAGGTGAGTCAGATTTTTAAACTCGCTTCAGTTTGTATTTTGGCTGCACACTTTATATTACCTTATCAGAATCAATTATTTTGAATAATAAGTAAGTTCATTGTTTTTTTTTTAGTGTATAATAGATTAGCTTACTAAGTTACTTCAATCTGTTTATGCTTAAAGCTTTTTGTTGTCACTGTTGAATGTTTAGTTTTTGTTCTTAAATAGTTAAATGTGCATCCCAAATTGTCTATAAATGTTTTATTTTATAAACTTTGATAATTTTTATAACTTTGTTTTTCTTTCTGATGTTACAGACTTCATTATGAAATACTTATACTACATCATAATGATTTAAATTGCAGTTAATATTGAATCTTAAAACCTATGATTTTCTACTGCAGAAATATCTGTTGTCACCCACCCATGATATTTTCTACTGCAGAAATATCTGTTGTCACCCACCCATGATATTTTATTTTCAGAAATATCTGTTGTCACCCACCCATGATTTTTTATTTCAGAAATATCTGTTGTCACCCACCCATGATATTTTATTTCAGAAATATCTGTTGTGTCACCCACCCATGATTTGTTATTTCAGAAATATCTGTTGTGTCACCCACGCCATCTTAGCTCAGTTGTAGATGAGCATCATTTTATTAATGAAACATTTTCCCAAATGAGGTAAGACTTTAAAATATTCACAAACATACTCACTACCAAATATAAATATCTTTTAAAAAATAGTTAAGTATTAAGCCTTGTTGTCTTTTTTCATCCAAAAATTTGTTTTTCTTTTTCAGGACAATGCGAAAAATCAAATCTCTAGCATCCAACATTTCTGTTTCGGTCTTGACTGGGAACTATTACGATGAACAAATGCAAAGTCATTTAAATAAAGTAAGGTGCTCTATTAATAGCTTGTATAACTTGGTCACAGTCCAGTCAATATCTTTTATAATGTTTAAGTCATAGAAGAAATCAATTATTGAATCCAGGAACTTTGTTATCATTTTTTATTAAATCCTTTAACATGTCCTAAAGCATTTTATTTCCAATTTTGAGCAGGCGTGGGCAAAAGCTGAGCAAAGCTTGCTGTCAAAGTTCCCACCAAACGTGCAGCATCTGGTCATAAATGGTGCAGATCGGCATATGCTGTACAGGAAACCAACTCCCATAATAGAGGCCGTATTAAAAATTGTGCGCAAATGGAAGAGAACTAAAATTCTGAGTGCCAGTCAGTCAGCGTGAAGTGAACTAAAAAATTTGAGTGCTAGCCAGAATGAAGTGAAGAATGGCATTATAAATGAGTGTGCTCTGGATTTTAAATGCTGTAACTGATGATAGATAGTTAATGAGTATGTTCATTGAATGCTGTAACTGTTGATAGATAGTTGATGAGTATGTTCATTGAATGCTGTAACTGTTGATAGATAGTTGATGAGTATGTTCATTGAATGCTGTAACTGTTGATAGATAGTTGATGAGTATGTTCATTGAATGCTGTAACTGTTGATAGATAGTTGATGAATATGTTCATTGAATGCTGTAATTGATGATAGTTGATGAATATGTTCATTGAATGCTGTAACTGTTGATAGATAGTTGATGAATATATTCATTGAATGCTGTAGTTGATGATAGTTCATGAATATGTTCATGAGTGCTGGCTTGATATTTTATGTAGCATGTGTGAGCCTTATTGAATAGTCAGTTTAGTATTGGAGCATTGGATAATAGTCATTTTTCTTTAAGAATATTTTCATAATGTGTTCACATGGAGTACAATGTGTGTATGATGAGAATTTAATGAGAGGAGTAAAAAAAAATTGTTAAACAAAATAAATGGAGTGATTTTTTTTTATTGCAGCAAACATTAAAATCCAGGTCTGCATCAAGTACCTGAGGAAACAGTTTAAAATAAATGTAATTTTAATGCATTGAAGATTTTAAATAATAAAGATACTTAACCCCTCACATCTATACCTCTCCCTTTCCCTCCCCCCTCCCACACACACACACACACATCTGATACTTGATATCATTTTGTAAAGTATTGCAAATGCAACTTTGCTTTATTTTTATAAACAACTCATCAAGGGAGGTCATTATTTTATTATTTAATGAGTTAGTTCCCCTACATGATAAATTTAGAATATTACCAATGTGCTATTATTAGTCTGGATGCAAGTGTTGCACCACTCGTGTGCTCCACATAAAACTATAAAATACAAGCCAGCTATCGGACTGAGCTGTGGTGGTATGGGCAAAACCATGACTTTATTCAACAGAGCCTAAAGCTGATGATTTGTGCTCCAGTTCTCGGGCTGGGGTACAACCACGCCACTAACTCGATACTCAGTTCTTTTGCAAACTATTGGGAGTTTTTTTTTTTATTTCTCTCTAAAAACAAAAGATAATATTGTATTATAGGCCTCTCTCTCTCTCTGTATATATATATTTATGGCCACCACCACCAAAATTTAATACTACCAAAAAAAATTTTTTGTAATGTGAAAGGTCTATATTATTATGGTGTACCTGTAAATTTATGGCCAAAGGGACACAAACGTAATATTATTTTCTCTTTGTAGTTAAGCCGAGGTTATCTCTATTCAAGTTGGGAGTAATAAAAAGAACTATAACATATTTTTTTGTCTGTAAAATTGTTCAGAAAAATATCAAATCATCAAAAAATTATATTCTGTATCTATCAAACTAAAAAAACGGTTTGTTTCTTAGATATAAATTTACTTTTTCCAACAAATATTTCACAAAATACAAAAGGGAGGTAGCCTCGCTTAAACCTCGAAATGAAATAATTTCATGTTTCCTTCCCTTTGACCATAAATTAATGGCTCAATTTTTTTTCTTTGAAATTCAAAACGAGAATAAACTATATAATAATAAGCGATGAAACAATAAAAAAAGATCTAGATCTACGTGATAATTTTACTTAGACTAATTTCATAAAAATTTCTTGTAAATCTCTTTTTTGTATTAAAACATTTTAACTTTGTTCTGCATGTTTGTGAAAAGTATTTCTTCTAGTTTTTAATTATATTGAAGTGTGTGAGTTTGCTTGAGCGTTTAGGAGTTGTGCAGTTGCGGCAACAAATTAATAGATTAGGATGCGGCGTATTCATTAACTGGAACGTTCGCTGCTTATGGAACATATAGATTCTAGATTTAAGATGTAGAACTAGAAGGGAGGGAAAATGTCTGTGATATATTTTCCAAAGACCATTTGGGACTATTATTAATAGCCTATGCCCAAGTGTTAATCTTTACACCACACGCATGCGCGATTAATTGAGGCGTATGAATATTACGACATTTCCTGTTTTTGTCAACCATTTTCGCCAACAAAAGTAGGATTCATAGACCTTGTTGACACTAATAACTGGACTGAATAAAATTATGGTTTGTTAGTGTTCCGAAATAATATTGAGTCTTGGCTGTCATTTTTTGTTAAGTCTGTTAACAACTTTCAGGCTTCACGTCCGGGAAATGGAAGACATACGGCATGGAATGTTATTTTAATCACTGAGTTGAGAGCTGCCACCACTGCCAGGTTTTGGTGTGGTCATATCGTAATGTCATATCTTAGAAATGAAATACTCAGAAATACTCATCAATCATCATAGATCTAGTTTTCATAGTCACAGTGACAGTGAATCTGACTTTTTTGAGTGAGTCAGATTGAGATGGGGCCAGTTTAGTCCGACAGAGATAATAAAACTTTGCGGAAAAGAATAAATTAAAGATGTTATTTATTTATTTAATAATTAGGGCCAAGGTATTAATTAATAATTACTATAATTAGGAGGCCTAACCACTACTATGTACTATGTGCACTAACCAGATTACAATCTTAAATTTAATTATTAATTTAAGATTGTAATCTGGTTAGGTTTATTAAGTCTTAAATCTATTTTAATTAATCTAGCATCTAAGATTAGTCGATTCTAAGTATTATTAAGTATGTCTAAGTATGACGAGTATGTAAAGTAGGTCTATAAAATTACGAAGTGACTTCTCGGAAAAAGATGTTGTGCCCCAACGTCTCCACCTAGTCTGCAAAAGATAGTAATTCGCAATGACCTACCTATGGTTGGGGTTAGGGCTAGGGTTCTGCGGTTGTAAACACACGCATGCGTAGCACCATCGAAAACATCGCCACGAAGGCAAGTCATTGTTTCTCTCCATTGCGCATGTGTATCTTTTTCCAGCTAGCATCGGACATGAAATTATTAAATAATCCTCCTTGGGAAATAGGAAAAATGTTCAAATTTTACAGAATTATTAAATATATAGGCCCTATCAGTCTAGATCTAGAAATCTAGAGCTAGATTAGTAACCTCTCTATAGGCCTTATTAGCTTTATTTACAATATATTAGTAGTAGTAGACTCTCTTAGTCTTATATTAGGCCTACATGCAAACTCTTTATAGAATTAAATTCTGATCTAGATGATTAGATCTCTGTCCATAGTATACAGTTATACACAAATGACAATGCAGTTTTAATAGGGCTAAACCAAAAATTAGGCTATCATTTTAGGTTGAGTAGGCAAGAGATCCTATAGGCCTATTTAGATCTGTATCATTGGTGTTTTCCATGATAAAACTGTAAGTGTAAGATATAGAGAATGTAAACAGAAGAAATTGCAAATAAAATAAACCTTAATTTAGTAGAAACAATACCTACCAATAGACCTAATTATTAAATAATAAATAACAACTTAAAGACCCCTCCATCAAGATTACTACATGCCAATTTCCAGTCTGCACATCTATCTTGTAATTAAAGATAAGATGATAAAACTTCACACATTAGTGTTAGCTGTTAAAGTACAGTAAAGGTACAGGACAGTGATTGCAACAGGCCAAGTTCCATTGTCTATTTCTTAGTTGCTGTTTAAGATATGAGAAAACTGTACAAAGAAAATGGAGAAAGAAATCAGAATACTTGAAATATGATATTTATTTGCCATATCCTTGCTTTTGTATGAGTTGGTTTTCTATGATAATTGATATGCTTATATTATTATGTGGGCAAGGCTAATCAATAAACACGGACAAAAGTCTAGATTGTTTTGAAGTTTTCAAATCAAATTGTGTCACAGCAAAGGATTAAGCTGCCCTATACATTATTTATATGAATGTTTTTAAAATACATGTACACTCAAGAAATCATTTTAAAAATAGAATTTTTTTTTTCTCTTTTTTTCCTTCAGCAAAGAAGTGAAGTATCTGCTACTTACAACAGTCATAACGATCATTGATCCCATCTAAGGTCTAGTTCCATCCTGGATCGATTTTTCCCTCCCCGCCGGACATCCTCCAAAAAGCGGGATAGTGATGGCTTATCAGCTTCTTCTGGTGCGTCAAAGGGTTCAGAGAATAAAAGCAGGGCCTCAACATTCTCTCTGTCTCACCTGTTACCATCACGCAGAAGATCAAAGTCCCGTCTCAGTTTAGATTCAGACCCATACAGGTCTGACAGCGGTGCCTGTGGGATATCACCCCCTCATTCCTCCAGCAACGTAACTAGATCATCACCTACACCACCCCCCAACAATTATTATCAGTCAGCTTTTGTCTCTTACCATGGATCTCTCAGAGGTCAAGGTGAATCTCACAACTCACTGGACGGCATTCCGTTGGAAAAAATAGTTTTTGAAGAAGGCCCGTCAGAATTTAGCATGAAAGAATGTGGCCTGTCAATACATAGTGATGAGAAGAGCTTGATCATAATGGAGTGTCCGGTGTGCCTTGTAGAAAAGTCTAAAGAAAATTTTCTTGAGATTTCTACATGCCATCACAGATGCTGCTCTGCTTGTTTGAAAGAATATTTTAGGGTAACTAGACTTTTTATAAATTCTTTTCTATCTTTAGTTTTGAAATTAACTTTGTAATGATTATTCCTTAGTCCATTATAGATATTTTTTAGAAACCTTTGCAATTTACTTCATAAATAACAAGTTAGCTAGACAATGCTTTATATTAATGACTTTCTTTTATTTGTAAAGCACTCTAAGCTACTCTATCTGTTTACAAAAATCACTCACTAGATTGAAATAATGGAGTCACGTCTTGCTATTGCCTGCCCAGAATGTTCAGAACTGTTCCATCCAAACGACATTAGGGCCATTGTCTTAGATGATATACTCATGCAAAAATATGAAGATTTTATGTTGCGCCGTGTCTTGGCTATGGACTCTGATACAAGATGGTGCCCTGCACCAGACTGCGGGTAAGGATGACTCACTGTTAAACCCTTTTCTTTACTACCTTTTAATATATTATATATCTATAACTTTATAGTCTGATTTTACTTTTTTTTTACTTTCTTAAATTTGATCTTTTATTCTTTATTAAATTCAGTATTCCTATTCTATTATCAGCTTATGGTATATTCCAGATAGACTATTTATGTTATATTATTTAATTGTAATATTTTGATCATATGACAAACAGGTATGCTGTGATTGCATTTGGGTGTGCTGGATGTCCCAAGCTGAAATGTGAACGTGAAGGATGCAACACCTACTTTTGTTACCACTGTAAACAGTACTGGCACCCAAACCAGACCTGCGATGCTGCCCGAGCAGAACGCTCCCCCAACATCCGCTCTTCCTCCATCAGTTTCAGTCAAGAATCAGGAACACAGAGTATGTCGATTTGCTACACTACCCTATTTTGATTTACTTTCTAGTGATGTTTTGCAACTTATATGCCCATCACAAACTGTTAATAGAGGTTGTTTATATTTTTATGGAAATATTTTATATATTATTTTTAAAATAATTTATATCTAGATGAAATAAAGTCTTGCCCTCGCTGTGGTGCCTTCATTGTTAAAATGGACGATGGTTCTTGTAATCACATGACTTGTGCTGTGTGTGGGGCAGGCTTCTGTTGGCTTTGTATGAAAGAAATTTCAGACTTACACTATTTGAGGTACATTTCCCTTTTAAATATTGGTTTTTATATCTTTATGTTTGGACACTATTTGAGGTACATTTTCCTTTAAATTTTAGTTTTATGTGTTTATGTTCAGATTGTTTATTTTGAACTAAGACTACTCTGTATAATGATAAAGATTCTTATAGATTAGTTGATTTACTCTACTTGTAAAGCTTGATCCGCTCAGTGTAGTTCTGTGTTTTGTAGTCCATCAGGTTGCACATTTTGGGGCAGGAAGCCGTGGAGCAGAAAGAAAAAAATATTGTGGCAGTTAGGTACACTGGTGGGTGCACCTGTAGGCATCACTCTTGTGGCAGGTATTGCCGTCCCTGCTATGATTATTGGAATACCTGTCTGGGTTGGTCGAAAGGTAAGCACAAGTTTTTTTAACACTTTATGACAAAGTCTTTATCTTATCTAGCTATTCAAGTAATGCTTTCAGTTGGTGTGAGTTGGGTTTAAATTTCTCTCTGGTTTAGTTTAGTAAAATGACTTTTCATATTTATTCATCTTGTTAAAACAGATTCATTACCGATTTGATGGCGCCTCCAAACATAAACGGAACTTGGCAATAACTGGTGGAGTGGCAGCTTCAATTATTGCTGCACCCATCATTGCTGGCTTAGCTGTTGGTGAGTTTGTTTAATTTTATAAGCACATTTTTTTTTCTTTTTCATACATAGTAAGAACTATGCTATGCTTCAAATTGTTAAAGCTGTTGTTTGTAAGAACTATTTTTTATAAAAAATAAATATGGCTTAAGTTTATAACGCTTTTGGTTTAAAACCTGAACTATTTTTATCAAAATAATGCCAGGAAAAGTTGTTTATGTTGACATGGCAATATCTACACTAAACTACACACAAATACTTTCAGGGATTTGTTAAGGCTATTTGTTTAGATTTGAGAAAATAATTGCTCTCTACCATTGAACCACTCTTTTTTTTTTAAATGTTTTAAAAGTTTGTCTAAAAAAAGATTGTTTATTAACTTAACTTTAAATATTTTGTTCCAGGTATTGGTGTTCCCATTCTGTTAGCCTATGTTTATGGAGTTGTTCCATTCTCATTGTGTCGCAGTGGAGGCTGTGGTGTGACAACAACAAACACAGGTGGTGTCAGATTTGAGTTTGATGAACGTGATGATACCACAACTCACGGGCCTTACAGCTATGCAGGTATTGTGGTTTATTCATTATTCAAGTTCAAATACAATAATTTTGGTCCACCTTATAGGTGTGTAGACACCTGACAGAAATTTTTTTAAATTGTGTGTTGACTTTTTCCAGGTGACAATCACAGCATTGAGACCGCACCAAATGTGGCTAATCCAAGCATTGCCCCAAGTATAGGAGATGCCAGTCTGGGCATGACAAACAGGTTTGGTTTTTTTTTTTCAAATAAAATTTTTTAAATTTTATTCTGAGCTAATATTATATACGTAATTCAACTATTTAAACAAATTTAATTATTTCCATATCATTCTTTAGTCTGAGTGCATCTGGCAGCCACATAGACCGGGCTGGAGTTTTGAGGGACGACTGTGATAGAGACTCTGCTAGTCATCAAGCTATTGCCGGCACCAGTATCAATGGGAGTGTGTGCAGTGCCACCTACAGCTCACAGCACCACAAGTAATATGTCATCTGGATTTGTTTACAAATCATTAACACTATTTTAAGCCACTGAGTTTAATGCTTATGTAACATTGCTAAAGCATGCATGTTTCTCACCTGATTATGAAAATATGCACACAAAAATATTGCTATTTGTAATTCAACAGTGTGTTGATTAGTATATAGTAGTGGATAAATATAGCTTTATATTTATAAAACAAATTTGCAGTTACCATTTTAAATTACAGCCTCAAAACAATCACACATAGCATGACAATCCTTTCAGTTAAAATACTATTAAAATCTCAGAGACTTTTTTTTACCTTAATTTTATGGCAAGATGTTATCTCAGTGAATATAAATTTTGTGGGTTTATTTTAATTTCTTATGCATTAAAATTTCTATTGCCTGCAGGTTGGAAGTTCAAGCAGATATTTTAGAACATTCTTCCAACTGTGAGCGGTCGAGTGTTGGTGGGGAGTCTTACAGTATGTCCCTGAATGATGATGCCAGTACTAGAGCCTTGGCTGGGTCTATTGTATCCCCCAAGTGAGTTTTTCTAAAAATTGTTCTCTAAGCTTGAAATTTTGTTTTAAGATGCTACTTTTTTGTGTATTAGGTATTGTGTAGTATATCTCTAAACATTTTATTTTCATCATGTTTTCCTGATCTTGCCCAAAACAAATGGGGCAGATGATGTAGAGTTTTTTTTTAAGCATAAAGAAAGTAAATTGTTAATTTATATGGATAAAGGGTGTTGAGAGAATAAAGTAGGTGTAAATCATGATAATTTATTTGTATCTGGTTAAAGTTGGTATATCACTTGGTCATTTATTTATATTGGGATAAAGATAACTTGGATAATTGTATGGATAAAGTTGGTTAATCATTTGGTCATTTATTTTCATAGGGATAAAGATGGTATATCACTTTGTTCAAGACACTTTGATGGAGCTTCTGGTCCCCTAGCTTATCCTGAAGAGACCTCAGAGAAGGATGAAGAGTGTGGCTCCTCCTCCAGTGGGAGTGGCCAACACCAGAGGGGCAGCTCATCTTGTCCTACATCTCCACACCTAAGGAAGGCAAGTCCTGCCCCTTCTGAGGATACAAGAAGCACCAGAGGTAAAAAATGCACCCGCTTCATGGACCAAGTTTCTGAGATTGAGTCAAAAAGTGATTGCCTGAGCATAGGTTCCATCATCAGCACCAGCAGTAGCTCCCCTTGCTACGAGGGTGTGTCACCAACCATGCCAACATACTCCACCCTGTCCCTGACAACCGCTCCCATCACAACACAGGCTGCCCTTGCTAGCTGTGAAAGCCTGATGAGCGAGGGAAAAGCTGAATCCATCGGAGCCTCTGACATTTGCCAAGCTGTCAATATTGGGAGTGCTGTCCGCATGAAAGCTGAATCAACCAGCAAGCTTATGGATGGTGCAGATTCTCGCCGGTGCGAGATGGGCGGCACTCGAAGGAAAAGTGACACTAGATCCAGAGACGACATCAATTCAGCTGAAAGGTCTTTGGTTTCCAGAAAGAAAAAAGGTTCTGTCTGCGAGAAGGAGCACCGGTCCCAGCCAGGGAATCTGTCTGATATCTCAGAAATACGAGGCATGCCTTCCCTCCATGCTGCTGGCTGCCCTGACCTGCTTGCTGTCATTGATACCAAGTGTGAAAATGTTTTTGTTGAGAAAAAGTCCAGGCTTTTGTCTGCTTCATCATCTTGTTCTTCCTCCTTCGAGGACCCCATGGAGTTGCGGTCGTCCAGGAGATACCACACTGTGGACAGAGTTGTGTTTGAGTCCTGTGGGAAGGAAGACATGAATGCCATGCTTGAGTATGGCGGTTCTCTGTCTGATGTAGCTCACAGCCTGTCGGACGTTAACATTTCTGGTCTTGACGGACCTCTAAAATCTGTGATGCCAACGTCGTCCATTTATCTGGATAAACAAAGTCTGACTGTTTCAAAGAAAGAGAATGTAAACACTCGTACGTGGTTGACTTCAGAGGATGCGGAAAGTGAAAAGGTCCTGACTGCATTGTGTAAGCGTGATTCTTGTGTGTCGCGTACCAGCATAGGCAGTGACTGTGGTTTGGCAGCCTCCCCCTTGCCTGATGTTGAAATGCCAAGCTGTTCCCCTGACACTGCTGCACCTTCCCAGCGAGGTGACGATCCCATGAGTCTGGTTCTGTCCCCTGTTGTTAGAACAGCTGATGCGCCTCGCCCAGCACATAAAACTTTAGTGCACCTGCATGGTTCCATTCAAGGCACAGTCCATATCTACCCCCACCCCATGGGATTAGTCCTGAGAGGTTCATCTGACCACAGCTCCTATGAGCCAGGGAAAAATATTTTGGCCACCAAGTCACCAAACACATCATCTGAAGTTAAGCCACTAAATTATGAAGTGTCAATTTTGCCTTCACCTGAAAAGCAAGACCACAGCAAGTCCAGAAAAGGCAGAAAAGATGGCACAAAAACGCCATCTGCTGTTCTGACCTCTCCAAAAAACTTACATTCTCAGCTGCCAGATAAAGCTGAATGCCTTCACACTGATTTATAAAATAGATTTTTGTTTACAGGAAAGACAAAACTTTGTACATAATCTTCATTCAGCAGTTAAGTTTGAATGTATATTTTTTATGACAAATCCTTGTTACATGACCAAAAATCTCACAAAATATCAAGTTTATCTTGGTTTTTATTATCACTTTCCTAGCCAAACAGACTTGAAGAATAGTTTTTAAAAAGAAACCACATCCACTTGAAATAAATTGTTTTTCTGGAAAAAAATATTGTTTTTGTAGTAATTAAATACTTTGAATAAATATTTCAAATTTGCTGTTTATTTGTTGGAAATAAAAACCATATTGCATTATAAAAAATAGCTGAATGGATCAGAGTATTTTTATTTTTAGAATTTGTCTTAGGTGGCTTTATTTTTTTGTTTGCATTTTTTATGTGATCATTATATATTTATTTTAAGTGTTGTCCATAAATGATGTCACACTCCTAGGTTTTAAAGTTTTTGTGGCAGTGTGACTTTTGATGCTAAAAGATTTTGCAGGTCTAAACGAAATGTATCTATGTATCTCATCTTTGACCCAGCTCATTTAAAATTTGACATAGAAATTTCTGTTCACAAAACAAAAATTGTGGTGTGATGTCAGTTATGAATGACACTTTAAGGCATAAATAGCTTTGCCACTTTTTTGTTACATTTTCTTTAATTAAAATAAACTATTTTTGTGGTGTGATGTCAGTTATGAATGACACTTTAAGGCATAAATAGCTTTGCCACTTTTTTGTTACATTTTCTTTAATTAAAATAAACTATTTTTGTTTTTACTTGTTTAAAATCTTCCTTTTACTTGATTTAGTGGATTTCGGTATTTGTTGATTACTTCCATCTGTTATAATTGACTAAACCTTTTTTTTTTTAACTGTTACATTTTTATTCACCTATTTTGCCATAATAATGAAATTCTTTGGTCTTTGTAATTCAAATTACTTTGATAGAGAGCACAAATATACTGTTGATGGGTGTAAAATTTTAAATTAAGGGTGATCAAATCCACACTTTATTTTAATAACACCTACTGGACCAGTAGTGCTAACCTTGTTTATTTTTTTAAACTACATTTGGAATAGTTGGCCTGATTCTAATAGAATTAATTTAAAAAACAGTTTTTAAAATTAAGATGTTGATTTCTTTATTCTTAAAACTCTCATTGGATGTTATTTATAGTAATTTGCTCTACTGTAAACCTTTTCTTAAAGACATCCCATACATCATGTATCGTACACACATGTATTATATAACTTATTTGTAAAGAATGTCGAAATGAAAATACCTATATATATATTTTGCTACTGTTATAAATTTAAGTGAATGTTTGTTGTCAAATTACTTTGTCTAGGTCTTATGCTTAAATGTGAACATCTGAAGCTGTGTGGCAAACTAATGTAGATTTAGGGAAGGTACTTTTTTGTTTAAGTATTTGTAAAACTTAACCATTAGATATAAGTGTACATAGTTGCAAAACAGTTTTTTAACATTTGTTTAAAAAACAATTCCAATTCCTACCAAAAAAAAAGCCTGAAAAAGAGCTTGTTATTTGTGTGCCATATTTATATGTTTGAGATGTGATTTAAGAGCAATATTTTATTTAGATAAAACAGCAACAGGATATTTTCTGGTGAGTTGGACTATATTGCCAAGGTTCAAGTTTTATCTAGTTTAAAACTTGTGTTTATATTTTAAAAATTCATTCCAATTTGAAATCATTTTAAACCCGTATTTTGTGTAAACTCTTCGGCTTTTCTACTAAAGATATTTTGGCCTCTATGTGTGTGTACCTTATTCAGAGCTGTAATGTTTTATTAAAAATTTTTTCAATGAAGATACATTGAATTATTTTGGGAAGCACCCTATTTAAGAAAGATATTAAAATTTATATTTATTAAAGCAGTTGGTTACATCTCTGATTAATGTATGCACATATACAATAACGTGTATATATACACAGTTCAATGCCATGCAAATAATAATGTAGTTGTGTTTATTTTGTTTACTGCATACCAGAGATCTAAATCATGGGCAGCGAGACAACAGTATGGTGACACTTTAGTCGCTAAGGCAGAAGTTTGAAGCAACTCCTGCCTAACTGGATCAAAGCCTTGTATTATAACTTACATTTCTGATAGCATACCAACAGCAAATGCTAAGAATTCTCTTAAAATTTTGTTATCCCAATCGTTTTGTTGTTTGAAAATGTTACTGAAATTCCACTATGTTGGCATCCATCTTGAATTTATAATCATGTCAGCCATTTCTAAACCACAGTATTTTGCATTCTATTTGGCTGCTGCTGTTCGTATTATTTTAGAGCTTGTTTTGATTGATTTTGACCTGCTTCTCTTACATTTATTGATATCTCAAGCTTTATGTTTTAATGGCAGATGTCATTGATATTTTTTATTGGTATGATAGGATAATGTTATTTTTAACTATTACTATTAGAGCAAAAACTATTATAATTTTGTTTCTCAGGCTTTATTTTCATATCTAAAAATTGGACAGGTTTCCCTATAAGCATTTGTTATTTTCAGTTGTAATTTTGACCATGTCCTAGCATTATGACAGGCACCAGAGTAAAGTATTCTACCATGCTTTACAATATTATTTTATATTACAAAGCACATGAGCATTATGCGAATATATTCCTTACAGTAGAGCAGTAGTGTTGGGCGTTCGGCATAATCTAATGTAGTGCGCGCTAAGGAAGAATAGTTGGATGACAAAATAATCAACTGATACTGGCTCCACTCTTCACTTGGTAGGCCTCCCAGGTTTAATAATCAATTGGTGCTGGCTTCACACTTCACATAAAGGCCTGAAATAGTGTTAGTCTCAATGTCTATAGGCTACAAGTATATTGCCCTACTGGGTAGGTAGGCTCTGTGTAGTGCAGCACTGAGATAACCCCTCCAATAAAGTAACGATGGCGAGTACATTAGTGTTGTCTGTCTTAAATGTGAATGCATGGGGAGGACTCTGTACTAATGAATATGTGTATACAAGTTCATTAAAAGAAAAAAATTCTACTGTACTAAAAATGTTTTTTTTTGTGTTTTAAGTCTTCAGCAGCCTGTTTGTACTAGACTACATACATGTATCAAAACCGAAGAAAGAAATTGAATGCTTCTGGTTGATTAATGGTACTGATTTATTTAAATTTATTATATAACATACTTCAAACTCATCCCTTTTTAATTTTCCTAATCACTGTTTGTTTTCTTTGTGGGCAGTATCACCCTGCCAATGGAAAATAAATGAAAAAATTCGCCAAAAAAATATTATACATCCCGCTTACACAACCTTTTTACTGTAGTGATAAATATGACGGAATTTTTTAAAATAAATAATTTGATCCAAAAAAAAGTGCATGAGAAATTATATTTTACCCAACTACAGATTTTTCTGAAAATAAGTTTAAAATGTATCAAATGTTTTATATTTTTAAAAATTCAGAAATGTTTATGCTTTACACATTTGCCATAAATGTTATTCTATCTCATGAAAATATAACCGTAATGTCATATTTACCGCCGTAAAAATGTGTCAGTTTTTTTTTAAAGAACAAGAACTTCTTAATTTTTCTTTTAATTTTAAATTTAGTTCAGAATTAAAATTCTGATGCTACAGCTTTATCTTTTTTATTGAAAAATTAATATTAACCCGGTACATGGGATAATAGAAGAAATAGTCCTTGCTCCATTATGATTGGCCCTCGCAGACCTATTCACGTAGGCCTCAGGTCAGATACACAGCGCTGGAATTTTTATAGGTGTGTCACCTAAATGAAATCTATCGTCGTATTATGTTAATTAATTACACCGTCTAGGACTCAACTTGTCTAGACAATCGATTATTCATAAATCTAAATTCGATCATATAGGCCCTACGATGTAACACACACAAGATTCCAAACATCAACCATTGACTTTGATCATCAAAGTTTGAGGGTCGAATATTCTGAGTAAAAATTTTCGACGCCCCGTGTGCAGACGATTCATCAAAATCTGCTTTGTCTGGGTTTTTTTTCTCTACGCAAACAAAAATCTTAGGAATGTCGTTGTTATCTTGGTCACGGTACAGTTGCTCCCTGAAAATGCTCCGCAGTGAATACGTTTCGTGACAATGGTTTGGTGAAAAGCCAAGCTGGCTACTGTGTGTGGACGTTTCATGTTTCTTGTCTTGTGTTGTAGGTGAAGGTTTTCTGCCTTTCTGGCAGAAAAACCAACCCTGCATAGCAAATTAGCCACGAGCATTCGGCTTTCATTAAAATTAAAACGTCTCCTTTTACATGTATTAAATATGTGCACGTTTGTTGACGCTGCCTTTATTTCAAGATATCAATGGTTTTATGACGTCATCCAGGGACAACCTTTCCCACCCCAACTGAAGGAATGTAATTATTAATACCAGACAAACATTCTAAATTTACATTTTAGAATATCATGTGTCTATCTCCCAAGCTGCAATTGAAAATGTGTGTAGGCGTATTTACACGTTTAGACGTATTGTTTTAAAAATCTTTATATTATTATAGGCCTAGATTTACTGATAGATAATATAATCTATAAATAGGCATATCTATAAAACGCGTGTATAGTAGGATATAGATCTATATACGAATCAATACAACAAGCGGTATCAATAGCATACACAAAGTAAGCCTATTTAAGAAGTTAATTTTCGATCATTCATGCTGCTAAATCTGGACAAGAAAATAAGTCGGGCCATATTAAACCAGAATGTCGGCGTTATATATCTCGACTGAATAAGTCGTTGATTATTTTGATACATTCATGTGTTTTGTTGTGGTTCGTATTTTATTGCGTCTGTGACAATGGTTAAGTTGTCGAACACAGCATAAAATGTCTAGGCTATGGTCGTTTGCTAAGAAATGTTTTTTTCCAGCAACACAAGTATGCCTATTAATACTAACGAGAAAAATGGCCCGTTGAGGAAGGGTACAACGGGCGCTAGGCTGATAGTGCTGTCTCTTTTCTCTAAACTAAAACCAACCCACCCCCCCCCCACACACCACCCCCACCCCACCACCCCCACACACACCACCCCCCCCCCACCCCTCCACCACCCCCCACCCCCCAAAAAAACATGTCTACCGTCCCATTCAACGAAATATAATTATATACTTTTTCCAGTGTCCGCCCCCTCCCAGAAAATTCTACCCCCGCCCCCGAAAATTTCAAGTACCCCCCACCCCTCTCCGGGGAGGAAAAAGTCTGAAAGAAACACTGAAACCAACCCACACATCACACACCACCCCCACCCCCCCCCCCCCCCACACACCACCCCAACCCCCCCACCCCCCACCCCCCCCCCCCCCCCCCCCCCAAAAAAAAAACATGTCTACCGTGAGAAAACCACTTTTTAGATTAGACACATTAATTAGGCGGTAATTTTATTATAGAGTATCGATGAGGAAATTTCTTTTGAGTTGTGGAGGGGGGGGGGCTCAGACGTTCTTACGCGGGGGGTGGGGCTTCGCCCCTACCCGAAGAATTGTATGCAAGAAACTCTTCACGCAAACCATTTAGATTAGACAACATTTCCTTTTTTTCAATGTTTACGCGATAATCAATGACGTCATTTTACTGTGTGCACTCTCTGGTTTGAGATTATGTTCTACTCTACGCTAAATGTGTCGACGTCATATTTCGTTTTTCGAATTACTGTGCATGTTTTTATTTTGCTTGTGTTTTCTCTAGAGCGTTCTTGTCAGACAAAGCGTTCTTGTCAGACAGAGCGTTCTTGTCAGATAGACAGACAGACAGCGAAACTATTAGTATTAACGAGAAAAATGGCCCGTTGAGGAAGGGTACAACGGGCGCTAGGCTGATAGTGCTGTCTCTTTTCTCTAAACTAAAACCAACCCACCCCCCCACACACCACCCCCACCCCACCCCCACACACCACCCCCACCCCCACCACACACCACCCCCACCCCTCACCCCCACACACCACCCCCTCCACACACCGCCCCCCCACCCCCCACCCCCCCCAAAAAAAAACATGTCTACCGTCCCATTCAACGAAATATAATTATATACTTTTTCCAGTGTCCGCCCCCTCCCAGAAAATTCTACCCCCGCCCCCGAAAATTTCAAGTACCCGCACCCCTCTCCGGGGAGGAAAAAGTCTGAAAGAAACACTGAAACCAACCCACCCCCCCACACACTACCCCCCCACCCCCCCCCCCCCCACACACCACCCCCCATCCCCCCCCACCCCCCCATCCCCCCCCCCCACCCCACACACCACCCCCCCCCACCCCTCCACCACCCCCCACCCCCCCAAAAAAAACATGTCTACCGTCCCATTCAACGAAATATAATTATATACTTTTTCCAGTGTCCGCACCCTCCCAGAAAATTCTACCCCCGCCCCCGAAAATTTCAAGTACCCCCACCCCTCTCCGGGGAGGAAAAAGTCTGAAAGAAACACTGAAACCAACCCACCCCCCCACACACCACCCCCACCCCCCTCCCCACCCCTACACACCACCCCCCCCACCCCTCCACCCCCCCCCCCAACCCCCCCAAAAAAAAAACATGTCTACCTTCCCATTGCAAGAAAACCACTTTTTAGATTAGACACATTAATTAGGCTGTAATTTTATTATAGAGTATCGATGAGGAAATTTCTTTTGAGTTGGGGAGGGGGGGGGGCTCAGACGTTCTTACGCGGGGGGTGGGGCTTCGCCCCTACCCGAAGAATTGTATGCAAGAAACTCTTCACGCAAACCATTTAGATTAGACAACATTTCCTTTTTTTCAATGTTTACGCGATAATCAATGACGTCATATTACTGTGTGCACTCTCTGGTTTGAGATTATGTTCTACTCTACGCTAAATGTGTCGACGTCATATTTCGTTTTTCGAATTACTGTGCATGTTTTTATTTTGCTTGTGTTTTCTCTAGAGCGTTCTTGTCAGACAGAGCGTTCTTGTCAGACAGAGCGTTCTTGTCAGATAGACAGACAGCGAAACTATTAGTATTAATAGTTTCGCTGTCTGTCTATCTATCTATCTGACAAGAACGCTCTAGAGAAAACACAAAGAAAATAAAAACATGCATAGTATTTCGAAAAACGAAGTATGACGTCGACACATTTAGCGCACAGAGTAGAAAATAATCTCAAACCCAGAGAGTGCTCAAAGTTATATGACGTCATTGATTTTCGCGTTAACATTGAATAAAAAGGAAATGTTGTCTAATCTTAATGGTTTGCGTGAAGAGTTTCTTGCATACAATTCTTCGGGTAGGGGCGAAGCCCCACCCCCCGCGTAAGAACGTCTGAGCCCCCCCCCCCTCGGGGAGGGGGCGGACACTGGAAAAAGTATATAATTATATTTCGTTGAATGGGACGGTAGACATGTTTTTTTTGGGGGGGGGGGGGTGGGGGGGGTGGGGGGGGGGGTGTGTGTGGGGGGTGGGGTGGTTTTAGTTTAGACTTTTTCCTCCCCAGAGAGGGGTGGGGGTACTTGAAATTTTCGGGGGCGGGGGTAGAATTTTCGGGGAAGGGGCGGACACTGGAAAAAGTATATAATTATATTTCGTTGAATGGGACGGTAGGCATGTTTTTTTGGGGGGGGGGGGGGGTGGAGGGGTGGGGGGGGGGGGGGTGGTGTGTGTGGGGGGGCGGTGTGTGGAGGGGGTGGTGTGTGTGGGGGGTGGGGGGTGGTGTGTGGGGGTGGGGGTGGTGTGTGGGGGGGGGTGGGTTGGTTTTAGTTTAGAGAAAAGAGACAGCACTATCAAGCTAGCGCCCGGTGTATCCTTCCTCAACGGGCCATTTTTCTCGTTTTTAATGTTCCTGTAAAATAGCCTACTTAGCTCTAGGTGTCATCGGCGCATCGGCATGCCGTATGCAGTTATAGATCTGTATGTGATTCAGATTATTGTGGTAATTGTTTTTTGAATGATTTTTCCAAAGGTTCGACGTATGTAATGTTTTTAATAGTTTCGGTAAATAAAAAAGAAGGAAAAAATGGAACAGGGGGGGGGGGGGGTTACCACACGATAAACAACCTTGGCTTTAACTAGGTCATGCGGACGTTCTAAAAATTCTAATTGTGTGGTCATCGTAAATAGATGACACATCGGCGGAGTGGAGGCTAAAGATCTATCAATACTATCATGAGAAATTATATTTAAACGAGCCGACCCGCGGCATATCATACGCCGCTATTTAGTTGTTTTTTTTTTTTTCTACTTTTCAGTTATTCATAATTTGTGAATTCGACACTACCAACGCTGCCACTGAAAATATTTCTTTAAAACACTATTAGTAGCTCGTTAAGGACGATAACCCCCCCCCCCTCCTTTAAAGTAAACTCCACTTAGTTACACCCCCCCCCCACACGTTTAAAATAGTTTCAAACTAAATTATCTGCCCCTAATAGTCGTCACTAAACACGGCTCTGTTTGTAAACAATTGGAGTGAACCATAGCTCACCAGACTATGTAGGGGTGGGGGTGGTAGGGAGCGCGTCTCCCAGAAGAGAATTATATATATAGATATAGATTAGATAGATAGTCAATATTATTTTGTCTTACTTTTCTACATGTTTAAATATGGGGCAGATACAGTAAGATCTAAATAGAAATGTTGACTTAAATTACTTATACTTATAGATCTAGAATAAAATCATTCTCAAGTTCTTCACACCATTGGATAAATTTGTTAGATTTTTAAAAAATAAACTTTTGAAACTATTTTTTAAATTTTTAGCTGGTTTTTTAAGGCTAATAATACATCGAAACAGACAAATACGCGTTTTTAGTTCATTATGTCAACTAAATAATTATGAGGCTCCTCTCATTAAATTGGTTATTATTACTATTAGGAAATAACTCTTGCATAGGAATAGGAGGCTTCTTTAGCAAAAAAATATATACTCTATGCCTATTATTCATTTTCTTTCGTCTGTAAAAATGTAATTAATAAACAAATCAGACATGGTAAACTAATTTAACTGTGACCTGGCCAGTTGGGAGCAGATGTCCTTTCGGCATGACAATCTGGTGTGGAATTCACATGTGAACTCTGTATTCAAAAAGGGATATTGCGATCAGCTTTGTCCATTCTTTCTCTGACGTAGATACTGGTTGGTACGCCTATGAGTTAGGTTGACTGTGATATGTCCTACTGATGGGAACCAGGCAGGCAACTTCCATGTTCAGAAGTTTTTTGCTCTACTACCTAACCACACCGTCCTATAAACGACAAGAAGACCCATTTAAACCAGCAAAAGTTGTGATAAATATATTCACAATGTCCTATTTAGGTATAATTTATACTTAACATTGACAGCCTGCCCAGAATTTGCAGTTTTAATGCAAAACCAACTATTCGAATCTACCAAAATAATGCAGTGACACCTTCACCCCGCTGAAAAAAACTATAGATTAAACTAGGTATTTGTTTCTGTGGCGTACGGTAATAGATTGGATGCTAATCGATCAGACAGCTTAACTTTACTTTGACACCACCATCAAGTTCACAAAGCTCGGTAGAGGACTAATGTATCGTATTGGCATATAGATTTTCCCGTAGCATAATATCGAAGTAGCCTACCATATCACTTTCAGATAATTTACAACTTTCAAAGCACCACACACAATTTATTTTGCTCCTGACTGTCACTTAAGATGTACCGTTGGCTGCGACTGGTAATTCTACAATTAACTCAGACAGATCCTCAATATGATGAACTTTTCTTTTCCTATATAAATTCAAGCTTTCCAGTAAATAATAACGTTATAATGTAACCAATAGACTTTTCTAATAAACACTGTGTACAGTATCAAGCAAAAAAAAAATGCAAATGAGAACAAACACTTGAGCATAAGAGAGGCAGACAAAAGAACATTATATTTTATTGGTACATACACATCCACCACGCAAGATGAAGATAATGATTTAACCCTTTAAGACAAATGTTTAATACAATTAGTTTTAAAATTATCAATTTGCTAGGGATGAAAAGGGAATTATTTTAACACAAAAAAAAATCCCAGGCTTTTTCTACAATTATATATTTGTAACACGATTTCTTGCATGTGTAGATCATTTTGATTCAACAAAGTAATCCTATGGTAACAAAAATTGTGCAGCCACAAAGTCTATTAAAAGACTAGCCATTACTACTTTGTAAGTCACACATAAATAGACCAAGTCTAGTTAAGTCCACCTGGTGAAGCAAGAAAAAACCCGGTGTGCTGCTCATTTAGCAGTGCCTGCATCTAAATGCCTAGACTGGTCATTGTAAATTGATCATGTTGAACCTAACTACTTGCTAGAACAAACATTTGTTGGCTAGAAGCTTCCTCTTGAGCTAGATTTGTACAATGAATTCCATAGAAACAGAAGGTAGATAAAAAAAATTCATGGAAAAAGCAGCTAAGATATAACTAAAGAGATAAAAATGCTAACAAGTGGAAGAAAGAGTAAAAAAAAATTACAGCTCCAAAAGTTGTTTTTTATACATCTCATTGAACCCATTTAGGTGAGAAATATATTCATTAAAAACCAACACACAAAAATAAAACACAGACGTAACTTAATAACAACCTAACATTACTAACAAATAAAAAAATAAAAACATGGACATAAGAGAAAAAAATAAGACAAAGAAAATGGACAAAACCAAAAAATTCTTAAATGTGACAAACAAAAGTACTATAGTATTACTTATAGCTTTTGATATGAATGAAGTTTGTGTTGTATAAAAAATTTTAAATTTTTAATCAGATTTAAGCTATTTAATATAGTTAAACATGCACAGCAACATGTATTAAGCTCAAGTTAAATTTTGAAACTTCCAAGAAAAAAGTTAATTTATACAGGTGAAACTGCATATTTATAGAAATACATTGAGCTCATTACGCCCTTCCCTGTCTAGTATTAAGCAGTAACAGAAACATATAGACACTAGACCCCATAGTAAACTTTTAGTGTATTAGCAAAATTGATGGACTTATAAATGTCAAGTAATGAGACAACTGCTTTTGCCATGAATCAAACAAATTTAAAAATAAGAAGAACAATTATAACTGTTTTCTGCAGCTTTTTAAAATGTTAACTTTACCAGTAAAAATAAAATGCAGGCATGTTGACTTTCCCTCAGCAGTGAAGTGGAAGTTTTTAAAATAAATTCCATCAGCAATTAAGATTATAGCACTCAGGTAGGCCTAATGTAGAATCATATTTAATTTTGATGAAATGGATTAAAGGAATTGGATCATTACTTTGGAGTTCCTGTCTAGTAAAATAAATCCCACCCAAAATAGATGTTACACTTACAAGCTGATTAAGTCACTTGTAATGAAGCAACAATGTCGAGGTAAATTCAACTATGGTAAGCAAATGATGCATTGTCTGGACAAAATGTTACATATAAAATTTTAAAGACCAATATTGGTACTTAGTAATAAAACAAAGGAAAAAAAACTACTTTTTGAATATTTATTAAATTTGACATAAAGTACAAGTGAAGGATAACAGTGCTGCCAAAATAGTTTGTATTGGAATAGACCTGACAGTGTGTAGCATCAAGCTGAAGCAGAAACTCATCAGACATGTGTACAGCTGATGCTGGAGGGCAAGTCTCAACTAAACTTTGACAGACAGTTTACCAGGGTAATTAAATATCTGATTCAGCAACTATTACAAGTAACATGAAAGAATATTATTGTTGTAAGAAAAAAAATTGTTTCAAAATCAACACATTCTAATACAGTTATAAAATCAATGAGGGAAGGAGAGAGGAATACATTTGCTCAAAAAGGAATCCAAACTCAATCTAAATAGCAAATGAAATTTTTTATACTGTGAATTTTTATACAATCAGCTTTTTCAACTAAGTAATCATGCATAATGAAATCTTTGTAATATGAATTATAATTTTGATAAAAACTACATCGCCTTGCCAAAATAATAAATGGCCTATAAAGTTAGTTAACACACAAAAACATGTAGAGTAGGCTAAAACTCATGTATTTGTTTGAAATAAAGGCTGTTTTATGTTTACAATATTTAAATAGGCATCCATATCAATAAAACAAAAAACTGCTTTTCTCCAATCTTAATTTTAAAATCTGATCTAGTAAAGGAACAAAAAAAAAAAAAAACCTAAATTTCGCACTCATGTAACATGAAACTTTGGACTGCAGGTGGAAGTGACACTTAAAAGTTTTTATCACACTGAAAAAAGATTGTTTCTTACTAGTTTGAATGACTGCCACTACTGATCGCACACAACATTGGAAAATAGGGGAGCCCTTATGTTAAAAACTCAGTGACACTAACAGATGAAACACTTTGGCCAGCGTTATCCATTCCCTTCAGACAGATGTCCTTGTGGCAGCCATCTTCAGCAGTGATCACTGGTGTCTTGACAGCAAAAGACAATAAGAAACTAATGAATTTTGTCCCGTATTTTACAACTGTATAGCAGTCAGATGTGATTGTTAATTCTTCCCAGAACTTTAAAAACTGATGAAGTTCACTGAATGATCTGAACAAAACACTATGCATATACACGTCTACCAAGTGTCAAACTTCACTGTTCTCAGGAATTTAAAAAAAATTATAACATGAGCAGAAACACTAAGTCTGTGGGAGTAACAAAGTAGAACTCCTTGATACCAAGTCAAATTTGTATTCATTAAAAGCAGTCTTTTGTCTGTTCATTTTGAGGTTGTTGTTGCCCAACTGGAATAGTTTAACAATTTTGTTTGAATCTAGAGATTAAAAGAATCCAAACAGAGTCTGCCGTGATATATTTCATGTACAGCAGTGAAATGTTTTCTACATTTCATTAGGTCTCTGCATGCTTACAAAGTTACCAGCACGTCCAAAATACACAGAACGTTAAAAACATAAGTGGTGGATCCCTTCAGAGTAGTTATCCTCCTCCACCCCTCCTCAGGTAAATAAAACCAGATATGAAGATAATTTTCAATGGTTGAAGAAGAAATTATTGAAAGGGTTTCACCAAATAACATGGAACTTCAGTCATTACTACTTACTGCTTAGAGAAAAATATGTAGAGAAATGATAAAATTAAAAAAAGCACAACAGAGAGTGTTTTCTCCCTATGGCCCTTGTCAGCTTTATAGCATGTTAAAGATGAAGCACTAGTGTATAAGTGAATTATCCTGGTGTTTCCAAACAGCTGACTTTTAGCAGGGAGGAGGGAAGGAGTCCCTAACAATCCTGTCTTAATTCTGACGACCACCGCGATTACCACCATCATGTCCACCTCTGCGGTTGTCCTGCAAAAACAAACAATTCAATATATCATCAAATTCTTCTAAAATAAAATTTTTTTGTCACTTTAAACATTAATAAACACAGCAGCTGAGGTTAATTTTTCTTCTAATTCATCAAAATTTACACATTCATTTATTTTTTTTAAAAAAAGTTTTCACTTTCAGTAGTATATTACAAAAGTATTTGAACACAAAAAAATTTTCTTACCCTGTTCCTACCGCCAGGACCTTCACCCCGATCCCGTCCATCTCCCCTGTCACGGTCACCACGATCTCTATCACCACGGTCTCCTCGATCACGATCACCACCCCCTCTATGGTCTCTGTCACCACTGCGGTGATCTCTTAAATCATTACGATTCTCACGTGTAGAGACAGTGTGAGCATCTTCTTCTTGACGTTTTTCATAGTGGGTAAAGTCATCAAAAATTGATGTTGTGTGCTTGTAGCTGTGTACAATTCGCAAGACCTGCTTGCCTTTCTCAGGGGGTACCTCCTGTGTGTCTCTTGAATTTGTCACTGGCTTGTTTTCATTGTTCTCCAGCCGGATATGTCTTAGCTGACTATTAGGAACATCTTTCACATACACCCATTTAACAACAAACTGGCCCTTCCACTTGTCCTGGGCCCACACACCAGCACTTTTGTTGTAATCTACTGGTGACATCATCTGGGCAATGCCACAGAAATGACCACTTCCGTTTACCGAGTAAATGAGGTAGACAGGTCCTTTGCCTTCTCTTTCTCTGAATGCTTGGTCCAGCCTTTTATTACCATGTTCTGTGCTGCACCAGATATTATACTTGATAGAGCGGTGGATATCATCCTCTGAGTAAGATTTAATGATAAAGAAACGAGCAGATTTTGGATTGAGGTTAAACTCCTTGGGATTGTACAAATTGGAAGATTTCAGTTGGTCCAAAACAGGATGTGACGAGGCTGGAGCACTAGCATGGCTGTTCTCACCGTTCGTTGTTGCAACATTGTTACTAGAATTACTTCTGTTGGTGGTACTTGCTCCTGCACTACTCACATAGCTTGAAGAATAAGGTGGGCTATGATTGCCTGGATTAACAGGTGCACTATTGACGCTGCTGTTGTTGTTGGAGTTGAGGTTTGTGCTGTTACCAGCATTGCCTGGATCATTTCCTGGACCACTAGTGGAGTGGGGCTGGATCTGTCTATTGCGGGCAGAGCTGTTTGCCCAGCTTTGACGAGTCTGCTGTGGTTGTGAGGAAGGCTGTTGTGATGGTGGAGCAGTCACTTTATTTGGATTACCCCTTACATCCCATGTCCCAATGTCCATGCTGTGAGGTTTATTTGGGTTCACCGGAGGACGAGGTATAGTCCTAGGCCTAAGCTGCTGCTGGGGTCTGGCTGGCTGGCTAGCAATGGCAGCCCATGAAGATTTCTTAGGCTGACTTTGCCCACCACCACTCATCATGGAAGATGAAACAGACTGCGAATGTGAAGGTGGCATCAAATGTGAAGGCTCAACCCCAAAACCATCAGACATACCAGGGGGCTGGCTTATATCAATTTTTTTCCGACCATTAGAGTCAATTGGTGAAGAAGCTGTAGCAGCCAATGTCATGTTGCGCATTCCCTGTTCTACAGACCCGATTGGCTCTTGCTGCTCAGGAGGTGCAGAAACACCATTCATTATGCCATAGCTGTCTTGAGGCATCATGTCTGCAGGATAGTAAGCCTCCTCTGAGGGATAACCTCTTTGGTCTTTTCGAACTGGTTGTGAGTTGCCCCAATAGTCATTGGCGGCATACTCCCAATTGTTGAAAGGGAACCCAAAGCCACCATAAACATTGTAGTCATATCCCATGCCAAACATTGTGTCAGCTCCATTTGACCAAGGTCCTTCATTGCCACCTAGTCCTTGATTCATAAAAGGGTATGTCATGTTTGACGGATAATAGCTCTGAAAGAATGAATCCGTAACTCCTCCAGTTGACATTGGTGGTGCACCATAAGTGGTCTTTTTGGGGGAAAAAAGAAATAAAAGATTCTCTTATTTTAATTTAAATACAAGGTGTTTAAAACAAACCTTGCTTGCAAGGTACTTAAAAGGAGCAAAGCAATATGATAATGGTTTTTATAGTCAATAGAAAAAATACTAATAGTAAGTTACTATTAAAGCAGGGATGTGAAAAGACCATGAAAATAAAAGGAGTTTTTAGGCCCAGACTGAACATTATATTTATATCCCATTTAAATCGGTCACAAAATTATTGCACTAATTAATAGTTTAACATTGCTATTATGAGTACCCCCACTAAGAAGACATGGTCAAGGGGTCACTGAGTTCACTGAGTTTTGAAAACCAGTAGGCCTATAGCATAAGTTATAGCAGGAAGGAACATAACTATCTGATATTGATGTCAAACACAAACTCAATGTGTGTTCACACAACCTGAGGAATCAGCAACAGTTGCAAAGGATGGGTTTGCCTAGCCCTCATAGTAACCTTTGGCAGCTATTTCAGAATTTGAGATTCTCTAATTAAATAGAAAGCATAGTGTAATGCTAGAGGAGGTAGCTTTTAAAACATGGATGATAAATTGTAGCAAGACTACTGCACATGCAGAATTAATTAAACCAAGCTCATACATACTATTCGTTTCAAAAAAAAAAAACAGCAACATTTTTAGAGATACTTTCCCCCCCCCCCCCCCCCCCCCCAAATTTTTTTTTGTTCGAATATTTAAATTTAAACTGAAAATTTGTAAATTTAGAAATATGCAAAGATGATTTCATAACATCACACCCCTGTTATCTAGTACTGTCAGACCAAGTGTAATCGTCCATTTGAAGCTAAATGTATTCTATCATCCATTTGAATGAGGGACAACAAAGAAATGAGCAATAACAATTAGAATCTCAACCTAGTTCTAATATTGTAATACCGGATTTTAAGAAGAGAAGAAAGAAATTATCATAGGAAAATGGCACCTTAAATGAAAATATTGATTTCTGCTAATAATTGAATTTAAGGAGTATCAAGGATAAAGCAATGTGAATGTAACAAAACTTATTATACATTTTTTGGGGAGAACTGGTTTTAGAAAAAGAGCAGGGCATGATATAATCTGTCACAGGATTGTTACTAAAATTGCAATTAACAATTAATAAATAACATACCCTGAAGTACAATCTAGCATTTCTTATTCACCACACATATTATTTCAATTAAAAATATGGTGGCAAACTTTGAATGCCAAAATCAAAAACATAAAAAAGTATAAAATACACTATAGCATCTTAAACAGAAATATTGATGTCCAAATTATGTCACCTATGATGTATACTAACTTTTTACTATCAAGAAAACTAAAATACATAGACTAAGTAAAACATCTCTAATTTCACCAAAAACAAGTTTATAACTTGATGCTGATAGATTGAGCACTACATCTGTCACTAAATACAAGATAGATATAAAATTAAGATACTTTTTTAAATTCAGATATAATGTGGGAATAAAATGTGGACAGATATATACATAAGCAGTTTTACAACTTTAAAATAAGTAACTGCTGGAAAAACTACATTATTGTTACATACATCTTGGGTCTGATCGCTCCATGATCTAACTGGGTGTTGTGGGGGTTGCAGATAGCCATCATCTTCTTTCATCACATCTTTTCCTGCACCATTTGACACTGTTAATGAGGAAGATTAGTGTAAAATTTCTAGTAAAACAAACTTTAAAATTAGTTTCAATAAAAGAATTTAAAACTTTTAAATAGATTAAAATGTGTTTAATGAATCACTCACCTTGATTAGACTGGCCCTTTGACCTCTATTACAAATATGAAATAGAAAAATATTCAGTTAAATCACTTTACAAAGTGTAAACTAGGCATAATAATTCATTGATAAACACATTTTACTACATAAAAAAGGCATGCATATGTTATAGTCAAGTATATATTCTGAATATTTAATACTAAAAAAAAACCCAGCCTATTTGTCATCATTAATCCTGTGTTCCCATGTTGATGAACAACAATCATGTTTACTCACTTGAGCTATGAGAAAGTCATGAACATGGCCAATCAAGGTGTGAATACTGTTCATGCTTATTTTGCAAGGGAGTAGTTTACAGTATTCTATTGTATATTTTTCTAACAAGTTTAAAAATAGGACTATTAAAATTAAATAATAAAACCCAGACATGTTTACATATTAACAGTGATAACAGGGTTTAAAAATCTGATAATTTATAAATTAAATTTGACACTTTGTAACTATAACAATCATATTCAAAATGTTTCAGTTGATTAAATTTTGTTTATAAATGTATCAGTTTTAAACTTGATAACTAACTCATAATTATATACACATACATACACATATATCGGACATGCCTAACCCTGGCAACCAAAAGTATGAACAGTCATACCTAAAAAGTGGAACATACACTCTGATGCTACTTTATTAAGTAAAAAATAAAAATAAATAGGCCCTAATTAAAAATAAGTCTAAAGACATTATACACAGTTGCTTACATACAAGTATAGGTATGGTGTTTAGTAGGCCTCTAGCTATATATAACTAGTCTCTAGGCTACATCTAAACACTGCTTAATGTCAGATTACATTTTTTTCAAAAAGTAAACCAGTAACTTGAGACCCCTCCCCAATATTGATTTGATTATTCCAACCTTGCTATATTCTAACCATATGATCAACAAAAGCTGAAGGCTCCAAAAGATATATAAATATAAGTTAACAGTTAAGACCTATCTAGTAAAAAAAAAACTCGTAGTTACTTCATTGCAGTTACAAGATAGATTTAATATCTACATCTAGAAATGAGGATGTTAGTCATGATTTTATTGTACTTTTCTCCCAACATGTTACTTAAGCCATAATTTAAATCTACAATTCAAAAGCAAATACCAAAAAGAACTCTCAGAAGCTAGCTTGTCCACATTATTTATTAGTAGATCTAGTATTTTTAGATTATACTTGTAAATATTGTAAGTAAAAAAGGAAACGGAAATGTGTCAAAGGGAGATAATAGCTTTTCCCTGTGCTTTTAAAGTTCTGTTTAAATTTTATTTTAAAAAGCGGAACAAAAGCAGGACAGCGGAACAGGACACAATTTTTTGTAAAAAATCTGAGCAATTCTGCTTGTAGCAGAACGGTAGGCATGTCTGATATATCTATAGTAGGTTAAGAAATTTTAAGTGCTGGCAATTTATCTTTACTCCTTTTGATAAGAGGAATTTAAAAAGTATTAATATCCAGTTTAAAGTATTGTTAAATTTATTCTAGAAAATAATAGACAGCATTTTTAACTACATAAAAAAAAAATTCTAGTTGTTAAAAAAAGTACTGCTATACAAAGTACATAAATTGAAACTGTGGCATAGTGTAAAATTAATTATGAAATGGTAATCTGAATCACTTCTGTGTATACTTTCTTAAAAAAGTGAATGGTGGTTAACCTTTCAGAAATAATAGTTTATGTAAAAAATTGATGAAAACAAATAGGCCTACAGAATAGAAATAAAGTAAAACGTCATTTTGCTGTAAAAGTGGAATTATAATAATAAAAATAAAGCAATAGCTTCACAGACAGCTTAAATAAACATGAGTTGAAATATATGTGTTACATCATCATAGGTTAAGATTTTGACAAATATTTTAATGTTTTCTTATTTGCAAAACTAATTTGTGCAACACAAAAGTGTTCATATAAAAAGCATTCATTTGGAAATTTAAACTTACCTATAGGCCCTATATAAAGCTAGACAATATTTAAGTTCCATCTACTTAGCCAATGTAAAATATTTTGACATAAGACTGAATAAAGACTGTCTCATCAACCCTACTGCTTATTGATTTCATTCACAATTCGATGTATTTGTTGTAAAATGCAAATAATTGTGACAGACATCTATTAATTGGAAAAAAATCTGCTGTGGTCTATGTAAAATATGTAGGCCTATATTAAAATAATAATTTGAAAAAAAATAGGCCCCTAGACCTATAATTTTATAATTTCACTCTGTACAAAAAAAAAGATAAAACATGGCTGGCAAAAAATTCAATTTTTGTACTGGAACTTCATGCTAATTATTCTTTGATTTCTAAGATAATGTTCCTGAACTTATCGATTGGGTACTTTTCCAGGCTTCTTATTTCCCCAGTGACAATGTAATAATTTTTAACTTTAATAAACACTCCTTACAAATGACCGATGATGACCCTTTCTCTTACAGTACCTAGATCTATACCTTTAATCTCACTTCAGTAAGTAAGCAGCATCTCAAGCAGGAACATAAAATATGTAGGCCAATAGTCTATACCAGGGGTCTCCAAACTACGGCCCGCATGCGGCCCGCGGAGATCTTTTTGTTCACGGTAAAAAATGTTAGTTAGAAGTGGCTGAGGAACTTTGCCCAGAAAACTCAAAACAATTTTAAAATGTAGCTTTGGGTGCAAATACCATTGCCTTCCGTGTTGCAATCATTGATGAAAACATTGTTACTAAAATAGTGAAAACTGCTAACAAGTTTCACAATTTTTCAATTGCATGCGAGATCATCAAAGACCTACAGCTGCAGTTTCAGTAACGGTTATCTGACTAAGATTCAAAGGCAGAAGAAGTGAGACTTTCAAAACCCATTTGAAACAAATGTAGCCAGTTGCCCTGGGGAACTGCAGATGGAGGTCAATGAATTGCAAGCAAATGACTTCCTTAGAGACAAGTTCAAAAAATGGAGGGTGGATTGTTGTGTTTGCCCAAGGAGAACAAACTAAGATCTCGAGTGTGTTGTCGTGTCGGCCCCCGACAGTGTTTCTTTCAGACTTTTTCTCCTGGGGGTGTATTTAAAATGTGTATATATTTCTATATAAATAATATTTTGTTGGGTGGGGGGGGGGGGGGGGGGGGGGAAACGACACTGTCACTCTAAAGAGATGCATGGAAGAAAATCTGGCCCCTGAACTGATATTTGATAGTTAATGCGGCCCTCGGGCTAAAAAGTTTGGAGACCCCTGGTCTATACTCAATACTCTATGACTAGGCCTATAGTTTTTTATTTGGTAGTCTACTAGAATCTAGAAGCTACCATAGCCAACATATTTTCTAGATTAAGTAGGGTATTAGATAATTAAGAAAGCCATGCATATTGATATCATTTTCATGATAGATCTATTGAACAAGCTTCCATTTTCAGGTTATCTAGATCTACTAGATTCTGGACCTAAATCTAGATTCTAGATCTAGAATCTAAATCTAACAAAAAACAACATCAATGTTGAAGAACACAATAATCCACAGTGCCCATACATAACTGTGTCTAATAATTTTAGATACTGTGTCCAATAATAGACTCTTCCATAAAATAGGTGTTGGGTTGTTGGTAGTATTGTAATCTCAACAAGATCTAGAATCTAGATTAGATCTAATTTTATGGTTAGAAATTTCAAATTAGGGTTAGATCTAGTTAGTGTATGGCACTGTAATATGTATGGCAGGACTAGGGTTGGGGTTAGCATCGACATTAGCCAGCAATGTGTGTAACTACCAGTAACCTAACACCCCTTTTTTAAAGAAGATTCTATTATCGGACACTGGTATAAAAATCTCCCACTGTGTCACTGTACAAGAATCTTAGAGCTCTGCTGATTCTGAGTAAATTTTACTGTAAAAGAGTGTAAGTCACTGCTGTGACGGTAAGACAAGAAGTAAGTTAGGAGACATAAAACATGTTAGATCTAGATACAAAAATAACATTAACACTCATTCCGACGAAATAGATCCATGAACAATTGCTTTTTAAGGCAAATATTGATACTGACCACTGGGCAATTTGTCATTTCAATTTTTAAAACCTTAGCCACACCTATTTTCTTTCACCTAACGCTGACGTCGAACTTATCTCAAACATGGCCGCATTGCGGAACTTCTCTAAGTAATAGTCAGAACTATGGTTTTACCTGATCGACATTTGCAGACATCCCACTTAATTTTTCACCCCCACAGATTAAGAAAGTGTTCGTTCACAGTCTTTACACAAAAATTTATTGAAAATCTATCCAAATGTATTCGAAAGATCACTTTAACAACCAAAATAAAGAAAAAATTCACAAAATTATCCACAGGAAATTCCCTTCCTCAACACGCAACCAATGGCGGCGACTACGCATGTGCCTCGATTCGGTGATGTTCACGTGACAAGGGTCGATCATTATTTATTATAGATTTTAAAATTACGATATCAAAAATAATTCATTAAAATTTAAAGCAATATTTATTGTAAGGTAGATTTATAGAATCTAGATTCTACCAAGAACTAGACGTTTCGACGAATATAATAAAGCAGTAAACTTGTTATTTTTAATAAAAAATAAATTGTTGGCAAATGTAACTATTAACGTAAAGATCTAGATCTAGGTTTATAAATATTGATATTCATGACTGGGACGCAATGAAAAAGATCTAAACTCTAGATCAGAGTTTCTTCCAGGCATCATTTCGGGGGCCAAAGAAAGTCCCCCCCACACACACACCACACCGAACGAGATGGAATTTATATAGTAAACATACATTTACCAGTGTCCGCCCCCCCCCCCCCGGAAAATGTAGACCCCCCCCCCACCCCTGAAAATATCAAGTGCCCCCCCCCCCCCTTCCCGGAGAAAAAAGTCTGGAAGAAGCACTGCTCTAGATCTAAATTATAATAGCCTATTTAAAAATTAATTCAGATGATTTTAATGCGTAGCCTAAAATAATTAGATTTAGGCAATATGACATATTGTAATACACTTTGTATGTAGGCCTATAAAAAGCCCTAAGGGGGTCATCCATAAATGACGTCACGCTTTTTTTTTTGACGATTTTTACCTCCCCTCCTCCCCTCCGTCACACATTTTCACAAAAAGCCGCCACCCTAAAATGACGTCACACCTCAGCCTTCAACCCCCCTCAAAATTGAAGTTGAATTTTTTTTTAAACTTCGATATTTTTCCAAAATCTTGTCTGAACTCTGTCAAAATAGAGTATTTTAATCAATTCCTATTACAATTTATTAAAACAATTTCAAAGTAGACTTTCAATATGAATTATTCTTGTTAACTGTTTTAATACGATGAGTAAAATTGCATGCAAGCCTCAACATACACGGTTAAATTTTTGATAACGCCAACCTCATGTCATTCTCAACATTTAATTTCTTTATTTGATTTATTTTTAACGAGCCGACCCGCGGCGTATTATACACCGCTATTTAGTTGTTTTATTTTCTACTTTTCAGTAATTCATTTCATTTGTGAATTCGACAGTACCAATTAAATTTGCGGAAGATTCCGCGTCAAGTACTATGTTAAATGAAAAACTGTTCACACAATGTTGGTGTAGTATGCACCATTCATACCCAAACTTGAATGGATTGCCTTGTAAGTTTTAGTTCCTTGTGTGTCTACATATCTTTGTAATTCGTCGGGAATGCTGGCAACATTGAGGGAAGCAGAAATTGGGTAACGTGTCAATGCAGATGCTTCTTATTTTCAGCTGAGGGAAAATAATGCCTCAGTTAGTTTTCAAGAGATTCAAGATGCCCAGAATCCTCTTTCAAATTTGCATTTATCTTACAATCAGATTCATCTACCATACTGGCATGATACTGCAGAGTTTCTCAAACATGGCAATAATTCCAAGATTTATTTTTCTTCGCCGATTTCGCAGCTTTGTTAAATGTCCTGATATTATCTTGAAAAGAGATAATATTCGTTCATTTTCTCTGAAGCTTCAGGTTAAGTTTATGTTGATGTTCGAATATATCTGCTATGCATAATACTCTCTCCAACCACGCTTTGTCGTTAAAGTTTATCAAAAGGTCTTGTTTTCCTTGCACTTCAATGAACAGCTTGACTCCAAATTTCAATTCACAAAACTCGATTCACAAAATTTCCTTTTGATAGTCAGCGTACTGCTGGTAGAAAAGCAGAACCTCGTGATCTTTATTCATGTCTTTGCACAGTTCTTTAAACAGAATAGTGTTTATAGGGCTCCAGATTTAAAATAATTTACGACTCTTATTAGCAATGGATTCGTAGGAGTCTTGCAGGCACTGGCATACCAGTAAATCATACAGTTTCTCCTTTTTCGTTCTTAATTTTAGTGTTGGAAGGATTACGTGTCAACATTACTGGTTATGCGCCATTGAGACTCCGATTTCAGCCTGCTTTTCTTTTTGGATTTGCTTCCGTCCATAGCCATTGTCCAACTAAGAACAAACTACAAGGCAGCAGTTGTTTGATTTTGGAGTTGTCTCTCCTTGAAGAGTGTCCCCAGCTAACGAGCCTCATATGCTCGCGGGTTCGAAGTTCGAACTCGAGACTTTTCAATTTAGCAAGCAACCATGAGCTTTACCGACTCGACCACACCGACCCCAATCATGCAATTTATTCCCCTTGATTGGGGAGCTAAATATTTTAGTTTTTTTCTGAAAGACCGATTTTGACTCTAACATGTATAGACAGCGCGCACTACAGCCGTTTTTCCGTTTTAATCATCCAGTTAAAAAAAAAAAGTATATTTATTTGCTCCATGATATTATTGATATCTTCACAAAATAGCAACTCTTCTTTGTTATAATCTGAATGAATATATTTCCTACAGACAAGCAACTGCGAACAGGAACTCACGTGTGTAGATTCATCAACTTGAACAGCAAACAATGGTGAAAGCTTGATTTCATACAAAATTTGTTCTTTAATATCTACGGACATATCTACTATAAGCCGCCGTTTTGTGTTCTTAGACAGAGATATTAGTTGCATCTTAACCACACTGGAATCCCCTGAATTAATTTCACAATCTTCAGCATACAGGGTTTGATGAGATTTTCTCCTTTTGCGTGGGTTTTTTTTTGTTGGCAATTTCTATTACAACTTCATATGATTCTTTCGTTAATGCTGTGTTTCCTTGGTGAAAACTTCTTGTTCGATCAAGTCTCTGACGTTTGCAACTAGCTTCGTGCTGACAAAATAACTCCTTATCTTTTTTGGTGTGTTTCGAATGACTCGTATCAAAATGACGTTTACAAGGCTCATGACTGAGAACAACTTTGAACAGTACACTTTGTTTCTTCTCTATTCCATTTCCAGTGATGTTAGTAAAGCCGAATTTCAGATATTCTTTTGAATATTTAGGTATTTTTTTCAGTGCTAGGATTTAGTCTACCAGTTGGTGACCAGTTGGCGACCCACAGTTTGGGAACCAGTGTTTCTTCCAGACTTTTTTCTCCATGGGGCACTTGATATTTTCGGGGGGGGGGGGGGGGGGGGGGAGGGGGGGAGTAGGTCAACATTTTCCGGGGCGGGGGGGGGGGGGGCGGACACTGGTTAAAGGATATATTTTCTATATAAATTCCATTTCGTTGGGGGTGGGGGGGGGGGTGGGGTGGGGTGGGGGGTGGGGGCGGTAGACTTTCTTGGGGGGGGGGGGGGTTCTGCCTGGAAGAAACTCTATTGGGAACCCATGATCTATATTATACCGATGACGGACTGACTGACACATATATATATATATATATATATATATATATATATATATATATATATATATATATATATATATATATATATATATATATATATATATATATATATATATATATGTGTGTGTGTGTGTGAGTGTGTGCGTGCGTTTGTGCGTGTGTGCGCGTGTGTGTGTGTATGTGACAAAAGTCGTGTGATATTCTTGCGTGTGTGTATATGTGTGTGTTCGCCCACGTCTAGGAATTGAAATGCTAGACTGTGGCACAAACGACTTTGGCGGCGATTAATATTTAAAAAAAGCACACCCCGAATGCAGGACAATCTTTTTATTTGATCTAAATGAATAAAAAAAAACTCCATTGTTACAGCTCTCATTTTCTACTGAAACTGTTATCTCACCTCTGCGTTCCACGCATTCTTTATCTCTCATCTCACATCAATCCCGTCCGCTCTTTAACTTTTCCAAGGGGTGGGGGCTGAAAGAAACTCCTTCGGCCAAAGGACCTAACTAGCATAAAAGGCTTACTATACATTCCCATATGATTTTTGTGCATTGTGTGAAGGATAGAAAGTTGCAATAGGGCATATTATATTTTAAATAGCCTACATTGTTCAAGATAGGCCTAAATAACGAAAAAAGATGAGGGCGTTGGGATGGGTAACAATTTAGGATCTAGTCAGACACTACGCTCAAATTTGAATATTCATAGTGACCTCAGTTATTATATCCACATTTAGCAGCATTGGAACTGAATAGTTGACATAACAGCTTACATTTTAGGCTATTTTAAACAATGTATTTGAATCCATGCTTTTACTTTCAATTTTTCAAGTGAAAATAACAAATACGGATTAGCTATATAATTTATATTTAAGAAAGCAAAGGACAGTTCTTGGTTTTTTTTTTTTCGATATGGATTACATTTAATTTTATTTTATTTTAATATAAAAATCTGGCAACTTTAACTAGCCAGTCGCTATAAAGTATAAATATTTTGTTAGTTCCAACTGTTTTGATTAATAAATAGAACATAGATCTAGATTTTGCTCTAAATTAATTACTATAGATCTATAGGTCAATAATATTTATTTGGAACAGTTACGATGGCTAGCTTAGATGACTTAAAAACATATGAACTCCAATTGCAACAGGTAATCGTCTGAAACTTAATTCTTGAAGAAAAAAAACCTGTTTTCGATAGCCCTCACTCCTCTTAACTTAACTCTTAAGTCTTAAGTCTTACACTAACTCTAGCTCAGCTAGACTTAGAGTTAGACTAGATAGCAGATCTAGATCTAGAATCTAGATCTTAGATACTAGATCTATAGAATATAGATAGATTAAGATACATTTTTCTGGTGTTCAAAATAAACTCAGAAAAAACTGCCATCAACATCACTGAGACTGAGTGTAGTCACTGTAGTTTAAATGACACAGAGTCATAGAGAATAGAGAGTAAACTGGAGTAAAGTAGAAAAAAGTTCCACAGCTATTTTTTAACCCTTTTATATTTAACACTGAAACAAACTGAAAACTGGGTAAAACTCCATTTCAGCGTATTTTATTCTCCGTTGCTTGTTTACCTCCAGTTGAGCGTATTTTATTATAACAACCGAAACACACCAAAACATTAGGAAAACACGATTTATTTTTTGTATTGTATTTTTGTTTTAGCAAATGAATAAAAATGAATATTTAAAAAGCACGACTTGTTTATTTGTATTGTATTTTAAAAAAAAAGGCATTTGTCTCATGGTGAAACTGATACACTGTTAATCATTCTGTTTTATATTTTTGTATTTATGCAATAAATGTACAAACTCTGTGTTTTTTAATTTGACAGTTTTGCTAAAACTGAAAAAAATATTTTACTATAGAGTTGTACGTTATTTAAATTCATAGTAAATCTACCATCCTTCCCTTTTTTGTATGAGTAAATTTCTGACTTTTAAAAAAAATTGATGTGGGGTCGTCCATAAATGACGTCACACTCGTAAGGGAAAGGGGGGTCAGCAATTTTGTGACGGTGTGTGATGAGGGGGAGGGGGTGGGGTTTCAGATGGTGTGACGTCCCTTTTTTGCATTATAGAAAAGCAATGTTAGAAAAACAAGTTTTAGCCGTTATTTCACGTTTTAGAAAACGGTTTTAATAAATTGTAATATGAATTGATCAAAATACTCTATGTTGACAGAGTTCTGACAAGATTTTGGAAAAATTATCGATGTTTTAAGAAAAATTCAACAGAAATTTTGAGGGGGGGGGTTGTAGGGTGAGATGTGACGTCATTTTAGGGGGGGGGGGGGTCTGACTTTTTGTGACGACGTATAACGGAGGGGAGGGGGGGGGGGAGGTAAAAATCGTAAAAAAAAAGCGTGTCGTCACAAAAAGCAAGACCCCCCCCCCCCCCAAAATGACGTAGCACCATCTGAACCCCCCTTCTCACCACACACCGTCACAAAATTACGGACCCCCCCCCCTCCCCCTACGAGTGTGACGTCATTTATGGACGACCTCTAACATTATTATTTTTTTAAATGACACCATGAGTTGTCACACTTTCTCTAACAATCCAAGCCATCCCTCACCAAATTCCACCCCCCCCCTCGGTCCACTTTCGGCAGCATCATTGTGCCTTTTAATACTTTTATTCAGTTTAGTTGAAATTGGAACACTTAATTGTACAAAGTGTGTATCTCTATTTTTGTAACCAACAAACAAAGCACTTCACTGAAGTCAGTCTCTTTGTTGTTTTTTATTCATTTGTTAAAACAAAAATACAATACAAATAAACAAGTCGTGTTTTTTAAACATTCATTTTATTCATTTGTGAAAACAAAAATACAATACAAATAATAAATCGTGTTTTCCTAATGTTTTGGTGTGTTTTGGTTGTTATAATAAAATACGCTCAACTGGAGGTAAACAAGCAACGGAGAATAAAATACGCTAAAATGGAGGTTTACCGAAAACTGAAACTACTATATTTTTATATTACTCTGCTGCCATTCTACATATTTAATTGTATTCCTATGCATTAGCTAGTCTCATAACGCGAGTTGAATTACCTCCCCTGACCCGCTTTTTTATGGCCACTTTCTAGTTCGTTTTTTTCGATCGCGTCTCGGCACTGTTGCTAAAAATAGCATTCGCGCAATACCATACGGGTAAATCTGTTTGGCGTCTGCTACACGTGATAGATCGTTGAATGGCCGACAAGCTGATATAAAAATTATTGCGACAGGATGCGATTTTCGTGGAAATTGAGCTAGATTTAGCAAAAGACAGCTATATTTGTGTAAAATATTATTATTTATACTTCTACTTACACAGATATTTTGATAACTGCAGTTCAGCCGTCCATTTTTCTTTTAAAATGTATCTTTAGAATTTCTGTACCTTTTGGCAATCGGTCAGGAGCATTTGCGCACTAAACCCACCCCCCTACGGCAGATCCGATTTTTTTCCCAGTGAACTCGTACTGACCTCCCACATAGCTAAGATAGTACATTGATACTGATGGGAAAGCCTCTAAATCTGTATTCCTACTAGAGATCTAGAAATAAATCTAGATCGTGGAGTTTTTATAATGACTTTTAAATTGAATGTCTCCAGTTTAAGATATTTTTTTTTCAAAACATAGCTACTTTTAGTACTATATTTAAGTATTTCAAACCCTTTTGGTAGTTTTTTCTTAAACTTAGACCTAGATCTAGTGATTAGATATCTATATTTTGTACTTATAACTTGCAGGCCTATTAAAATAATAATAAAACAGTTTGCTTGATAACTTCATTAGATCATTTCATAAACACAAATGTTATAAACATATAAAAATCACAAAACCATAGGTAATATCTGAATTCTGTAGCCTACCTTACATTTAGGCTAATAGTAATACTGAATTAAAAAGAAATTACATTAAGGTTTGAAATTAATACAACTTGTAATTAAAAAAGAAAGCTTCAATTCTAAATACTACAAGATATAATAACAAACAATGAAACAAATTCAAAGATTTTTTCAACTCATTTAGTCGAAAAGATTTTTATTTTTTCCGATATTGACCAAAATAAGTTTTTAAAGCTTAGGCCTAATGTTTTTACAAACATAACTCAATTTTATTAGGCCCCTGTAAACATTAATTAAGATTCCTCTGTAGACCAAGCAATCTATTTAGCAGATGAAGTAGAGTTCATGTTTTTTGACCTCGGCATATGAAGTGATTGTCCGTGTGGTCATCACTACTCACAGCCGCCGTTACTTTTTACCTTTAATTTCCCCAATGTATATCAGGTACCCACCAGAAATGGGTGGACTCTAATTGAATTTTATTAAACATTTTGATATAGATCTATAACATTCCAAACAACATCTGATCTGTAAATGTTATCTTTCTGCTTCCAAATGCGGTATTTTCCAATTGAAAATTCATCACAAAACATACAATAAATTATATAAATGGCATTTTATAAATATATATAAACTATTTACTTTCACCTTGGTGTAAAAAAATGTAGGTATAAGCAAACTGGTTTCAATAGTAAGAAAGAATCATGTCTTTTCTTGCTTACTAGCTTTAAAACAAGTGAATTTGACTTTTTACCTGCGTTTTTGGTCGCGTTTCTATATATTTTATTTGCGACACTAAAAAAATTATATTTAATCAACCAATTATGCTAAATTAATAAAATTGGTACTGTTGGATTGCATTTTTAAAGCTCTACAATTATATGCTATTCTTTTTATAATTTGAAGAAAATTGAATTTATATGAGACTAACTACATAGAATTTGAGATATTCATGTTTTAGTGACTTCACTACTTGCGATATTTTTTCCCCCTTTTTTTTTCTCCTGCGGCCATCTGAACCGGCTTGCGCAATGACATATTTTATTCGTTTTAATCCAATTTTAATAACTTAAATACATATTTTACACTTTTAAACGTGTTTTTGATTGTATTATTAATTATTATTAGATTGCAAAACCAAATAAAAAACACATTAATTAAATTTATTAACTACACATCACGGATGACCCAGTGATGACTCAAGGGACGCAACTATAATAATCATAACACAAGGGACGTAACAATCACTAACAAGACAAAACCTAACATCTGCTTAGACATGCTTGTATGTAGACTTAACTTGAAATATAGAGCATCTAGATCTAGGCTAGTCTAGCTCAAGTTGTTGGTTACGCAGCGAGGTAGCTCAAGTTGTTGGTTACGCAGCGAGGTGAAACCACCCTAATCGTTACCCAAGCTGCAGCCACCCCCATTTCACCTCTCAGGTTGCTTTAATAGCCTTAGCTATAGTATTTACAGAGTCCCGAACATATGTATAAGCTATTTATAGTTAACCTAGTTATTAAAAGCTTTCATTGGTTGGTTTTAATCGTCTCATCCCGGACCTAGTGTTTTCATCCGGGGGAACTGGGATCACTGGCTGACACCATACCTAAACTTAGAAAATTCAAAAACTTGTCTTCCAGAAGGAGAAAACAAATAAAATTGACATGGATATCTTTAGAAATGGACATGCGTACAGCAGATATCGGTAGTTTCGTAATCGTATAAAGCATCCAAACAATTATTATACGAAGCGATAAACAGGCGATGGCCCCTCTGTGGTTTTAACTGCGTGCGGGAACTTTACTCTAGAATTTGATAGAATGATAGACTTTAGGGCTCTAGGTTAAGAACCACTATCATTAGTTTACAAAATCTTTAGTCGGTAATCTATCATTTTAGGTACGTAAAATCGCCCGAGACTAGTAATGTGAAAAAAAGGTGACTCATTAAATTTTAGTAGGCCTAATTATTTCACATTTTTAGGAGGATTTATGTTTTGAAAGTTACAAAAATGTTTCATAAGTTTCATTAATGATATTAATGTACCTATTATTACACAATGGTATTAAAACTTTTCAGTAATAAATGAAGATAACGATGTTATCATCAGATGCAACCAAGCTCATTTACTTAAGCAGCCATCTTGTTTGAGTTTTTTTTGGGCAAATTATAGATCTAGTTAGTCTAGAGATTCAGGGGAAACCACTCCAACTTATAGATGGCCGCTGTTTACATAATACATAGCAAATCTCACTAGCAAACACTGCTGTTTAAGGTTCACAGAAAGATGCGCAAACAGAAACATTGATCTATTGCCTATTTTAGCATTAAGATAGTAACTAATAACTAAAAATAGATCAGACTATTTAGTTTTGATAAGCTGCCCTCCATTAACAAACAACAGTTTTTTAAAATTATAACATAGTCTGTTTCAATATCAACACTGAAAGTTTTTTCCTCACGTTTTAGGTTGAAGCTGCACTGACAACAGATCCAACTAATGAGGAATTGCTAAAACTCCAGAAAGATTTGCAGGTGAGATATTAAAAAACAAACAAAAACAACTTTCTTTTGTTTTAAAAAGAGTAAAACTGTTTTACTGCAAAAAAAAAGTAGTATCATTGATTATAAATATTTGAATCTATAGTTCCTTCATATTTCCAAAAGCAGTACAATAATGAAACTCAGCAAAATGGAATCGTTCTTGGTATTTGATCAGATAGTCCAGTTTTCTTAGGTTAAGCCAGCATTAATACAGTCCCAGACCCCCCCATTCAACTTTTAATTCATCTGGATTGAAAAAATTCAGATTTTTGCTTTAGTTTAAGACACCAAAAATAACTGAATTACGTAAAAGTAATGTTCCTAGTTGAACAATCCAAATTTAATTTCTGTTAGACTCTTGTATTCTAGATCATGCGTCTTCCACTGTGAGCATGATAAAAGCAGCCAAGGCAGGAAACTTGTTGTACTCTAGTCTATAGACAACTCAGAGTAAGTATGGGCGTCTATTACCCCCAGCATTTTATTCATAGCCGAGGATCTAGACGACACATTAAAGTATTGCTGTAATTTGCCGCCCTTTGCGTTATCTTGTTTAATATTATGTAATCCTATATAGCATTTAAAAATAAATATGTTATCTCAAAATAATTTTGAAATAATTATGCTTTGGTATTAGTTTTTAGATTTGACTGAATAATTATCAATGATTTTGAAAAAAAAAAAGTTAATTCCTTGTGCTCTTTTTACATAATTGTGTTGTACTATAGAAAAAAAAATGCACACTTTCTCATTTTAAAAAAAGTATCAGTCATTTACAATAAAAACAGCCTAATTTATGAAAGGATGTAGGTATTTTAGCAACTGCAAAAACAGTTCCTTATTAAATATGGTTTATGTATGGTGAAACTTATATGATAGTTGCAATAAGTAAATTTATAACCTTAAAGAACAGTTTGATTTAAAACTATCTTGCAAAATTCGTACATAAAAAAAAAGAAACATCAGACTACTGGTATCAAGTTAAATTTATTATCTGTATTTTGGTTGGTGATTTTGTAATTCATAAGCTTATTAGAAAATATCAAGGTAAAATAATAGTTATAGGCGTAAATATATTTTAAAGAATTATGGCATATATTACATACCTGCAAAATTTGTGATTCCTGATTGATTAAAAAGCAGTAATCTAAAACCCCTATTAAATTGAACAAAAACCCCAGAAAGGATAACAACTGAGATATATATTAGTGTTTTTGAGAATTGCTTGTGTAAGTCATATTGTTCTCAATTAACTTTTTTCACTTGGTTATATCACCTCCAGGAAGTAATTCAATTGACCACAGAACTGATCTCTGCACCAGTTGCAAATGCTACTGGGTCTGGCACATCAGCCACAGTCTCATCTACCAGTGGTGGGGGTCAAAAGGCAAGCAGTGAAGATGGGGCGGTGCCAGACTGGAAAGTTGGGGACAAATGTATGGCCTTGTGGGAGGAAGATGGACAGTAAGTTGTTTCTGTTGGTTAAAGAATACACATTTTTTTCTGTTTTTGAAAGTATGGATAATTGGATGTTTCTGTCGTAAGTAGATGGACAGTTGGTTAAAATTCTTGGAAATAGATGGATAGTTGGTTAATTTTGTTGGAGGAAGAGTAAAGTGATTGTTTCCTCACCACATGTAACCATAAACTACCTACTCTCACATAAACAAATGCATTGCTTATTCTCTTGACTCATTTCAATATATCAAAGATCTTTCTTCGTCCTCTTAACACAAGTGAAGCTCATCACCTACTGGTAATGCTCATTCCTTATAAAGTTTTCAGAGATCTAAATTTCCCTAATATTGTTTAGGAAGCCCTAATCTTCCTATTAAATTGTTTTTTTCACTTTTGCTAGATTTCAGTTTTCGGAATTTTCATGGAAAAATCTAATTCCGGCAGAAAATACAAATTTTTTTTTTTAAATTGTCAGTTACATTCAACTACTAATATGTGTACACCAAAGTATCAAATGCTGCAGTCAGAACAATGAAGCAAGCAGCGGGTAGTGTGTCATCCATATTTTTACAAATGATGATCCTGCCATCTGTTCTAACGTACTTATTCAGTTGTAATCTGAATTGACTGCTTGTGGTTAGATCATCAAATAATACTGCATTCTTTCTGTTTGTGTTATCAGAATTATTAAAGAATGTGTATCAGGATGTGTCCAGTACTGACTTGGCTAGTAGGAGCATTAAACTAGACTGCATTGAAAAACTGTAGCCTTGCCTCAATAACTTTTTACTAATAGTTTAGTTAAATGACAATATTCATTTTAGCCTTTGCAAGTTTCAAAATATTGTGAGTTAAAAATGATTTTTACAGACACTATGAAGCACTAATTGAGGAAGTTTTAGAGGATGGTACCTGCACTGTGACATTTACTGGATGGAATAACAGCACAATCAGTCCAGTAAGTCCATCTCTTGCTCTATCTTTAATGCTGCTAATGTACACTTTTACTAATAAATGGCAATTACTGGTAGTTTTGTGATATAAACAATATAGGCACAAGTTTTGGGTTAAAGCTTTTTACTTTTGTTTAGAAAAAAATCTAATTTTGAGAAGAACTATGATAATGTCCATATTATTTCCTCAACTGTTCTGTTTAATCTTTCACATGCAAAATGTTTTTCAGATCTCTCAGCTGAAACCTGTTGACCCTATATTAAAGCGAGGTGCCAAAGGAGACAGAGTCACCGATGCTAAAAAATCCAAGTACTATGACTTTTATCTGTCAACGATTTAATTTTTTTAAATGAATTAATTGACATCTATACATTTAAACAAACAACTAACATTACTAACACTGTTTTTGTTTAACAAGGAAAGATCTGATCGCAGAACAAAGAGAATATAAAAGAAAAAAGTCTTTAAAGAAAGCTCAGCGTATGAAGCAGCTAGAGGAAGAACATGAGCAAGACAAAAACAAATGGCTAGATTTTAATCATAAGGTAAAAACTAGTTTAGATGTTCTATATACCCATAACATGTATAGTATAAGTAGATCAAATCTAGTATACTTGTAAGTGTAAAAGCTGTGTGAGAAATTTTTTTATAAACTTATATTGATTCACATACTATGTTATTTTTTAACACATTTGGTTTGGTATAAGAAACTTGATTATAAGCTTGTACATTGATTCATGTATGGCTAACCTGAAACTAGCACATTATATGATATTAAACAAATTCTTTAGAAGAAATGTAAATGCAGTTAAATTAATCAAGACATTGTTATGTTATCCTTTTTAAACAAAATTGTTTTTTTGTGTGGTCAGTCCGAAACCAAGCCCTTGCATAATTTCTTTTACATTTCAGACTTTTGCAAAGACAACCAAAGGTAAAGTGAAGAAGAGTATCTTTGCAACTCCAGACAGTGTTTCAGGAAAGGTTGGTGTGGGCACCTGTGGCTCTGGGGGCAAACCAATGACGTCCTATCAACACCAGGAGAAGTGGAAGAAATGAGTGTGATTTACTTGTTACCTAGTGTTTGTACATATGTGAGAACAGCTGTTGGATGAATGGTAGTGCAATGTACAGAAGTAAACATGGGATGTAATGTGCTTTTTGCTGAAATGGTGGTGTGTTTGTGAATGAAGTAGCGATGTCACACAAAATAAGTGATGCGCCCAGTGGTTTCTCGACAAATTGAGTTTGACAAAGTTTCTGGTTGTCTAATCACATTAATCATATTCGATGTGATAGTTTCAAAAAGTTGTAAGGTTACAAAATATACTAACATATTCTAATATGTCTTGAAGATCAAGTAATAGATTTTTACATTAGGTTTGATAACCAAATGATTTTCTTGCATTTAAAACGAGGCAAATAGGATATTAGAAAGGTTTATTGTGTTAACATTTATAAAATACAATATGTAGGCCTGTCATAAGTTTATAAATTAACTCAATGTAAATTAAATAAATCTTTTAATCTTACTTGTGTTTTGTTTATAGTTATATTTATGTATAAAGAGTAAGTTATATATTTCTATAATTAATGAACTGTAAAATATAAATATTTTAAAGAACATGGTTGAACTAGTGTTAAAAAAAACCTTTACCACCCAAATTAAATGAAGATATATCAGTGAAAGATCCTGCAGTAAAGCAACAATTTTTGCAAAGAAATCAGTTTACCATATAAAAGATATGCAGAATATATAGACACCAACCCTTGGAATACTCTTTATGTTTAGAATCAGCATACTTCAACTATTTCACTATCACTTTCTGGGAGTTTAATACATAACAGTTAACACCAACCCTAAGTGGTTATAGACATAACTTTATTGAACTACACATTGTATAGCAGATCATGGAATCAACATAAAAACAAAATCATGTGAAATTCTAGAAAGTATAAATGTGTAGATATGTATTGGAAAAATATTCACCATTTGTATTTGTTGGTTGACCCACAAGTTCATTTAGAACCTTCAGATATTGCAGCAATATGATTTTAAAAACTGATTTATAACAACTAAGAAATAGGCAATTAAAAACCTAACTAGTCAATCCATTTCAATATAGGTTAAAGGTTTATTACTCCAACATGATATAAATAAGGAACTTAAATCATTGGAAAAGAATGTGCTCCCTTTTTCTCTGTTGTAAACAAGCTAAATACAAGAGATAAATTGTGAAGCACACACTTGGCACTTGATCATCACAGCTTTAATGGCATGCTGGAGCAAAAATCCAAATGTTTCTAAGACAATTTAACAAAGTGTAGCCCAGAATAGTTCTCTCTATTATAAATATGTATATATATATATTCACATATAAAAATTGCATTGTGAGAGTGGCCCACAATGCGTAGTTATTATCTCTAACAAAAACGCTGTACAAAAGTAAGACTGGCACTTACCCAGTACCAGAAAATTTCTTCATTTTGTACTTAACCCAAGTCCCACCTGGGGCTTTGATAAATTAGATTTAATTTTTAAAGATGAACAATTTATAGTTATAATTTCAATGAAACTAGAAAATAAATAAAAAAAAAAAAGACAACTGCAAATAAAAAAAATGAAGCTTGTAATTATATAAAGAAACTACTACTTGGAAAAAAATCGAACTTTAAATAAAAGAGTATCTCCATACAACAGAATGTAATGAAAAACAACCTAAATTGTTTAAGATAACAGAAAATCTGGGTGACCTAAATATTATAAAATTCGGTGATTAGTATATTAGTTATAATTTTTATGGATTTAAAATTATTTTATAGCCAATAATAAAGAAGGCAAGCTATTTACAAGTAGGCTTTATATCAGGGGTCTCCAAACTACGGCCCGCGGGCCAAATGCGGCCCGCGAGGTCCTCTCATCCGGCCCGCGGAGATCTTTTTGTCCACGAAAAAACGTTTGTTGGTGATGGCTGAGGAACCTCGCTCAGAAAAATCAAAGACATGCCTGGAAGAAACTGGCCCCCGGACTGAAATTTGATAGTTAATGCGGCCCTCGGACTGAAAAGTTTGGAGACCCCTGCTTTATATAACAGGTGGCAATGTATTTTGACAAAGACCTGAAAATAGCTGTCTCAAAATTACAAAACAGTTCAACTCAAATTTTAACTCCTTAAAACAGTCTTTCAAATCATGATGTGAAAAATACCAAACTTTACAAGCCCCATCTGAATAAGAAGGAAAAGTTTGTTCATTTCAGCACAAATAACAATGTCAAAGCATTACAAGCAATCTGAATGGAAAAAAAATATCCTTTGTTAGAATTAAAACCCAAAATATTCTGTACACTTTGACTGCTGGCTAGCTTTCTGATTTTCACTACTCAAAATAAATTTTTAATAATTAAAGCAAGTTGAGAACACATTTAGATGCACACAGCACAAATAAAAATTTCTAAGCAATCCAAGCAATTAAAATGAAAAAAATACTTGTTGAAATCAAAACCCAAAAAAATATTCTACACACTTTGGCTGCTGGCTAGCATTTGTTGTTTTCATTACTTAAAATAATCTTAAAAAAAAAAACAACATAAGCTTAGAAACATACAAATAGGGATTTTTTTTTTTCCTTTATATTTAATGGACTTTGGTAACCTCATTCAACTTGCAAATCAGGCAATTAAAAAGTAAATCTTATATATATCTTTATACTCACATTTATATTTATCACTTAATTTACTACACCCCAGGGAATACCTTGGGAATGATAATCCCACTATTAATTACACTAATACTACTGAATATTCTACCCTGTTAGTAAAATATGCTAGCCCTTGTTATTCTAGTCTCATGAGCCTGGCAACAATGAGCAACACAAGACACACTGGAATGATGACATGTAACACCAGCCCACCCCCACTGCGTGTATGGTACTTATAATTAGTCAAACACCTAGTCTTTCATCCCTTCGTTTAGACACAATGTCAATGATAAAAACAAAAATGACCCTGCATGAGATGTGATAAGAATGACATAGAACAGAACAGACAAAACGGACACACTTCCAATGTGGGAGTGATATCAGAAGATTACTAAAACTAATCCTATGGAAGCCTGTTAGGCTACCAAGGTTTAACTAATCAGAAGAGATCACTCAGTCTTAGGGTGAACAACAACGGATAACAAATGTAAAATAGACATTTCAAGATAGTACTTCTCATTTGACCAGTTACTGAATGGTTGAATTTATAGAATTATTGAAGTAAATATATTTGAAAGATTAATGTAAAAAAAATCCAGACTAAAAAGATTTATTAGAAACCTGTAAGAGAAATTTTTAATTAAAACTATCATTTAAGTGGTGGAGATAGTTTGTGAAGCATTAGCACTTATGACATCAAATTGTAAAAATTGATATTTAATACACAACAGAGCATGTTATTTATGAGTTATATACAAAACATTGGCAGCATGTTATAAATAGAAATAGTCTCACATGAACTGATTTTCCAAATTTATACTTTCAGAAACCACATTATTAGTAAAAAAAATATTTAAAAAAATCCCTCAAGCAAAATCAGAAAAACCCATGGTTTTCAAGATGCCAAACATACATTGAATAATAAGTTGTTAAAAAAAAATCACAGCTGTTCCTCTAACTAGTTTGTCATAAGAGGAAGTGTTAGATGTTTCTCAATGTTCGACAACAAATATCACATCTAATAATGGTGTTGTCAGTCGTAACACATCCAAACACAGGTTGAAACAAACTCATTCACAAGCCACACAATATTTACTGAGGCAGCCACTGTTACTGTAATTGAAGGGCAACAGGTTATGTTTCACACACTTGCCTGTTTCAAAGAACTTTGTATATTGTCATGCCTGTTAGTCTGTTTTAATTTAATTTTCTATGTACAAATAAAAAGTAATTTCTGAACTGCAGGGAGCAAAAGAAAAAACTGGGAAAGGAAAAAAAAATATCTAAAGATCCTGTTATATTATCCCACAGTTTTCAAATACCAGCAACATATGTCAATGGTTGCAAAAAAAAATCTGAGCTACAGATACACCCTCAAAAAGTCCAAGAAAAACTTATTCCAACACTCTTTCTCATCTTTTAAACTTAAACTTTATCAAAGCTGCAACAGCTTGGGATGTTTCTAGCTAAAAAACATGTAGCAACATGGTGTTTAGTCCATCTTTATGTTGACATAGATATATCGGACAAACTTAAGTGAGGCAAAAAATGAGACTGTGGCCAGCATGAGAAAGAAGACGTAGCAGGTCAAGGCTGTGTAGCCCAGGAATTCAAGCGTCTGCAGCAGTCCTGACATGTTGGACCGCTTGTAATAGTAGAAGAGTGCGTAGAGGAACACAAAGATGCCAGTTGATCTGAGGAAGAATATGTTGGAGAAAATGTTATATTAAGGAATATGTATCTATCTCGCTCTCTCTATATATATAAACACACATATACAGTGTAATTTATTTAAAGCAAAAATGCTGAACATGAAAAATCTGTTAGATAAAATGAAAATAGTCTCGACAAAAAGTATTTTATATGCATAGTTGAACTAGAAATATTTAGATAACCTGATTTTAGCATTAAAGTATTTCCACTATGTGTGCGTAGATATATTTATATATAATAAAATAAATTTGTAATTAATTTTAGCTTTTATATAAAGTAACAGGTTTTACAGATTTTTAAAATATATTTATAAAAATTATATCCAAAATGTAATGACCTTTATGAAAAAACCCAACAATAAACAAAATAAATTTTAAACGAAAACATTCTGTTTGTGAAAAAGCATTTTATGATTTACCCTGCACTGAATATTGACCGCCACCACCAGCGATAGTCTTCTGCTGACAGCTGGAAGTAGGTGAGCGCTATGGAAATACAAGCAGTAACACTGAGGAGGATGCCATACACGATGAAGAGGATGCCAAACAAGGTGTACTGCTCACGTCCCCACAGAGTGGCAAAAATATAGTACAGCTCAACTGATATTGCACTGCAATTAATAGAATATTATTTTATATTGTATAGAATAAAAAAATATATTTTTCTAAATATTCATCTAATCTCTAAGGCCTTTCTAATAGCCGATGTGAAAAATGATAGTGTGTGTTATTAACTTAAAATAACTGAAGTAAACCTATACTTTATTTAATTTTTTCAATGGAGGTAAAAACTGTCTGACCTAAAGGGCAGGAATCCTCCAATTGCACAGTGAGCAAGAGCAGATCTGTACCAAGGCACGCTAGGAATTTCTCTGGAAATATTTTTTGTCCTGCAAGGAGCATCAAAACTGCCTGCATAGTTTTTGCCAAATATTCCACCTAATACTGTCAGGGGGTATCCAACTGTTGAAGTGTGAAAACTGACATTAAATTTTTTTAAACTGAAATTTACAAAACAGATTTAGCAGCAGCAAAACATAAAAAAAGAGTCTGATTGCTTCGTTATAAAACAATATTGTCCTAGTACTTGTACATTTGCCAATGTAATTTTTCATTTTGTGAACAAATAGAAAAAGCTGAATTTGTATTATATATCTTATGTTGAAGAGGAAACAAATATTTTTTTATTAAAGAGTATGTGCCATAAATAAAATGTGTATTAAAAATGTGTGATTAATACAGTAAATGTTTTTTCATGCTTTAAAAAAAAAGCCTAAAAAATGACTAGTGATTGTGAAATTATTATTTTAGTGGACTTAATCATAGTAAAAAATATACATATTTATCCTCAGTAAAAGTGAGTGCCGCATTTATAGTATAGTATTTTAATTTAATTTCTTTAAAATTTGTATAAAAAAAGTACATGTTGATTCAGTATTTTTTCTTAATACTTATTAGCTGGAAGGAGCAGGCAACCTGCCTTTGACCAAAAACTTACTGAAGAGCCAGAGCGCCATAAGCAGGATCACTGTAGTAGCAGGCAGAGCCCTTGTGGTACCGTAAGCCCAAGCCACTGAGTTTATCACGGCCCACACCAGGAAAAATGGCACTGAAATTTTTTTTCATATTACAAAATCATGTCTCTTACTCAAAACATATTTAACGCGAATTAATAAGCTATTAATAAACCACACAGGCAGTATAGTTTTGTGAGGTGTAAACAAAGAAAAAATTACCAGCAAATAACGCAGATGTCAGGTTGATGTTCCACACCCAGTTTTCTCCTCCCATCTTTTTAAACATATTGGCAGCCACATAGCCACTAATACCTGGCAATCAATCAATTTGTTACAGCACAAATCCAGTAATTATGACAAATGAAAACTTAATTAGACTGACATATACAAAATAAATAAGCTTTTAAAAAGGATGTTCTCTTGAATGCTTAAAAAAAGGAAAATTTAAAGTTATGGTTAAAACTATTCAGATTTGTCTAGTAAAATATAAAAAAAAGGTACACTTTTAGACCTGTTGGTCAATGTGGTGAGTATAATGTAGTTTGTTTATTTCTTCTCATATAGGAGGGATTATGTGGTACTCTTGAGTCAGGTACCCACTAAAGCTGGATAAACTAAGGTATCTCCAGCAGCCCTGGCACCAAACATGAGATGTTTCAACTAACTACCACCTGAAACACATAAACTACTAGCATGTTTTGTTTAAGCGCTAGTAAATAAAATTCCAGACTTACTTGATGTGAATGCATACAAAACAACAGCTGCTGCATTGATAGCACCATGACGATGCACATTGAACATGCCAGCCAAGGCCATCAACAAAATACCAGTTGCAAGGGCCAGGAACTGGGTACCAACACCTGCAACAGTTTATAACCAACAAAATATTTAGCTGGAGAAAAAACATTGCCATTGGCAAAATACCAACTGGCAGCTTATTTTAATTATGTTAATACAATGTTTATAGATAGTTATATTTAAATCTTACCCAAAATTGCACAGAAAAGATTCTTGTTTGGAGGAAAACGGAAAACATCTGTCCTGATTATCTTCCAGCCATTGTCATCAGAATCAAGATCATCAGCATCTTCTTCGTCTTCAATGTTGTAGCGGGCAAAGTCACTCTTCAGGACTCGAGTCTGTAATGTAAGCATAAAAAAAGGTAACATCCACATATTAGTTGATACAGAGCAAAAATGTATCATCTTCTATACCTAAACTAATCTGTAAAATAAAATTAAGTTCTAGATAAGAAGCTTGCTAAAGAAAAGTTTATAATGACCATAAACTTACCATTATTATGACCACAAATCCAATTAGAAGGAAGACCAACACAAGAGAATTTATGATTGACAGCCAATGGATCTGTAAAAAATTCAAAGATGAAAAAAATAAAACTACATAATATTTTGTTAATTGAAAAGAAAAACTGCTATTTATGAATTAACAATAAACTAAAATCGGATATTATGTATAGATAACTTGCCTCTAAATTTTTAGGAAAAAATGAGTTGTCTCTGATCCTTGTTCCTCTTTGGTCATAGCTGAGGCTAAAAGCAGAAAAACAAAATTTTTCTTTAAGTCAAATGAACAATTGAAAAACTAGTGGTAAACATTATATCTTATGAGACAAATGCCAAAGAAATACTTAAATACAAATTATCTTAAAGTTCACTAACTCTGTTTGAACCCATTTGACTGTGTAGGTAAATGCTACCTCCAAAGGTGTGGCAGCACCATCAAGTGATATAGGTAGCTGCTCTTTAGTTGTAACATTGGCATAAATGATCTGAAAGTCAGACAGGAAATACAATGTTATCTTCCAGTCCTCAGTACTGTCTTAGGTATAGAAAACAGCAAACTGAATGAGACTACTCTTTACAAAGTTTCTGTGTTTTATAGTGACCTCTTTATATTAAGATTTTTTCTATGCCTATTCTACTTCACTTTACAGAACTAGAGCCAGGTTACCTGTCAGATATGTGTGGAACCCCCCCCCCCCCCCCCACTAAAACTGGGACATTTTGGATTTTTATCTGCAGCATGACTCCACTGGACCACTGTCCTATCTTATTTAACAAGGTATTACATCTTAAAAACAATAGCAAAAGGTCAACTTTTTTAAAGACATCTCATATATTTGTGTTGATGTTTATTTTTATTTCTTATAAAAAGTACATTTGTACATAACAAATACAGCTAAGAGTTAATGGAAAAACCCAACAGTGGGAACTATAAAAACTTTTATAGCTTCAGTCTATTTAATGTTTGTAATAAAAAGAAGAGCTGTTTAAAAAACAAAAACTACTTGTGTTAAACTGCAAGATGTATTGAATGAGATTTTAGCTAATGTAAACTTAAACTTGAAAATTTAATGAAGAGAAATAATCACTGGAAACTCACTATAGAACTAAACAGGTGTAATTTTTTAAACACAGGGCTAAAGTAGTTTTCAACAGCTGTCAATAAGTATTGACGTTTTGCAACATACAAACTTAATCAATAGTACATAAATTCAAAAATTAATAGTGTAGACATTGCTTTAAGCAACCATGCAACCAAAGTTTGGTTCAATTTAATAATAAATAGTGTCGACTATAAAAAATGCTTTTTTTTAAGTAGCTAGGGAAAAATTTATACTAAGCATCCTGTATAAGTGTTATGTAACCTGACAAACCCCCAAGTTACTTTTCTAACTTAAATGTATGTTAATATTGATTTTAACAAGTTTGTCTTTTTGTGATATGTTAAAGTATTGACATAACTGGTCTACCAGCGTGCCATGTGTTACCGTGTATAGATATATAATTTTACTAACGTGATCTTGATTGTATTCAATGTTAAAATGCAAGTGGACCCAGAGGTATATCTTGTGGTTGTGGGGCAGAAAACCTCCTTCTTCTAAATGGCCAATAAAACCACGGATAGGAATATCATCTGTGAAGAGAAAACATAATCAATAAGGATTTTAAGCTTAAAATGTTATGGCCACCCTCTATGATCCTCACAGGTTAACTGAATCTTAACAGTTCAAATCTTAAAACATATATGCTACCAAGGCGAGTTTAAGATTTGGTGCACAATGGTTTTTAATTCAGCATTCTCCATACAATTACGAAGTGGAAACAAATTATTTATTACTGCCATTTGACACATAGCTCTAGACACACCACACCAAATGACTTTCATAAGATGATATGTCTACGCAGATTTCTGGGGATCTCATCTAAAGATCACAAAAGTATCGAAGAAGTCTGGGAAAGGATCACTAATGCAATAGGTCCCTTTTAGAGTCTACTGAGCATAGTCAAAACAAGAAAATTGAGTTGGTATGGGAATGTCACAAGATCAAACGGCCTACCCAAAACAATATTGAAAGGCACTGCGCCAGGAGGAAGAAGGGGAAGGCAAAGACAACACTGGATGGATGACATCAAGGATTGGATGGGACTGACCATCTCAGATTTAATCAGAGTGGCAGAGGACAGAGACGACAGGTGGAGAATTATAAAGTACACTGAGGTGCCCCAAACAGGTATCATCATGTTGATTTCAAATAAAATGAAAGAGGCCTTGGCAATTACTTCACTACTTAATCTAATACTTAGATGTTCCTTTTATAATATAAAATCAACCATTCAGCACACTATGTGTATGAAATGACAACACAAGGAATGACTGTGTACAACATTTAGATGGGCAAATTTTAACTGATTTGTACAAGTCAGACTATAACAGAATTTTTTTTACATTAAGTCATTACCACATGTGGAAATATTGAAAGTCTGATATTTTAGGTTGTTAGCCAACTCACCCAAGACGAACTCAAAGTAATAGAGATCTTCAATTGCATTCCGCAGCATTTCTAATTCAGATTCCCCATATTTCACTTTACATAGCTCTTTCTTAGTTGGTATGTCAGCTAGAGGAAGATTAAGCATGTTAGGCTTCAATTAAAAGAATAGCGCTTGCTAAATTATGCACACATTTTACTCCTACTAGTGATAAAATTCATCAAATTTTATATCTTCATATCTTACTTCTGTAATTGACATCATACAGGGAAAGTGCCATTCTGTCACCATCCAACACCTCTCCAAGTGTTAAACTCTTGTGTTCAATCTTGAATTGGTTGAATTATATTAAACAACTCATATAATATTAATTTCATTCCTATAATAATCTAATTTTAAGTCATTGATAACATCAACAGTTACAAGCAATGTCAGAGATATCTTTCAGTTAGAACTGAGCTAATAGCGTGCAATTATCTCACTATGTGTCAGTTGTGTGACTCCATAGCTGAACCTACCTTTTCTGGTCGGCATACTGGCAACTGGTAGTAGTGGTACGTTTCATGAGGATTGAAGTATGGACCCACTTTGTTCACATAAACAGGCACCTTAAGACCAGAGAAATAAAATTATTCATAACATTTATGACAAGGATACTTAGTAACCACTTTATCCATATCTTACAAATAACCAGCTTTAAGTTTTGATGGGAGAGTAGCAAAATTTTAAATAAATAAAACTTAAAAAGTACACTACACTTAAAACAATACAGTAACTGGTTTGCTAGCATCAATCAATACTTATCAGGGTTAATGTTTTGGTTCAATGAAGGTGGGGCTAACAGGGCATTACTGAAAGAGTGGTACTTGTCAATGTCAACTTAACCCTACATATGTAGCAACCCCTGCTGGCAATTGCATTATTTAGTGTTATACGTCTTTATTCTTAATCTAAGGGTTACAAAGTGCATAGCTATAGGTGGTACTACTGGTGATTTTGCATAGTGAACAACAAAGGGGGCAATGTGTTTTAACTGTTATTGGGTATTTTGCAGTAATGATAGTTAACACATACTTCTAATTCCAAGCTTATTTAGGTACCACAAGTACTATAAATACTTTAAAAATAGTTTTCTTCATATCTTTTCCTATTTTCTAGATCTTGATTGGGAAACACAGTATTCAAAAACAAGCTTACAGGTAACTTCTTAAAATATTTTTTTTAAACGCATCTGTAACCCTCATATTTCACTAAAATAATGTAATTTCCTAAAAACTGCTCTATAATTAAGAAAACTGTAGAAGCACTGTGATGTCAGGAATAAGGCAGAAGGACACCTAATAACTTCAGTTATCCTAACAATGTATAGCTTCAAGGTGTATAGTCACAAAATCTGCCTAGATCTCTAACCTAAAACAAGGTAATTTAAAGCTATCTCGGCAGTTTTGAAGATGCCTACTAATTCAAGCATTTCAATTTATTGAAAATAAAGCACCATTACTTTAAATTTAAATCAAGATCAAGGATAGGCCATGGGGCGATAAGTAAAATGCTCTAGTTGTTATATGACCATAGTTATAAAAAAGGTGTCAAAATGTACTGAGACCAATCCTTGAAGGATTGAACAAAGAATAGCCTTGGTTAACTCAGGTGGTTTATTACATAGTGAAGTTCCTTGAATAAAGTCTAGCAAGAGAACAGGGTTACATAACTGATAATGGTTTTATGGTGATGTGAAACTTGGAGGGGAGAGCAGTGGTACTAATTGCCTTTATCTCATCCCTGCTGGACCATGAGGGTCATAAATGACATAACTTGCAACATCTGCTTGGGTTAGATCTAAGAACAGTAATCCTTGTTAAGGAAGGGATTAGTGGTTTTATGATGGGCTACTAGCAGATGGGGGTGGGGAAGTGGGTTGGACTTGGGCTATAAATTTGGTGTTAACTTGCAATGGAGAAACTTTCCAAAAGAACTGGTTATATTAATTAAAAGTGAGAAGCTACTACTTATTAAATTGCAGGTTTTATTAATTTTTTAAATTTTAAAATTTATTGATTAGTTAATTTCATTAGATTATTTGTTTGAAAATGTACATATTTAAATAATAGCTAGCAAAAACAGATAACATTTATTGTTAACCACTGTCTCATCCAAGTTATTAATACAGATTGTTTTCGATTCTATACTTTTTTACTTTCTCGTACACTAAGTATAGAGTCTAAAAAGTCTAAATTTTCACAAATCTAGGCGTATTGCGCCTTCCTCCTGAGTCTGGGCAATTTTGTCAGTATACCTGTGTGTGTCTGTGACCATGATAACTTGAGTACCGTTATCGCTAGGTTGACAACATTTCTTACATAAGTATTATATCAAATTTGTAGTGCTGTAAAAACTTTTCAGTGGTTTCCGGTAACCGGAAGTGGAACTTATTTTACTTAAAGTTTTTCAAAAGCCCTATAACTTAAGTACTGTTTCAGTTAGATAGAAGAAATTTCATATGTATGTAAAAAAAACGCATATGAATTTATTTTTAAATTGATTCCTCTGTTTTTCTTTATAAAGTACTAATGCTCCGCACTAATATACACATATATTTTGCTGTTCATTTGGTGTGCAATTCTTTTTTCTACGAGATTCTATTCTATAAAAAGTTAAGTATTTGAAAATTGAGTTTAAAAGAATGTCTATATTCCGACAGTAATAGAGTTGCCATCCCCATTAGTGTTATCTAAGAATATTTGAGAAAATTTAGGGGAGATCATTCCCGCTTTTAAATTTTTTTTTGGAACCGTTTGAAATGAAATACCATTTACTTTACTTTTGCGTGAAAAATTAGGTAGCACTTATTAATAATTTTATACAGTAAACTGGCAATGCAGTTTTGATTGAGTTAATAAGATAACTTCCATGAAATACCCACATTTCTATCAGTTCCCTTCTCCCCAGAGATTATTAAGTCAATGGTACACAAATCTCACAATTTATTTTGAACACTTATTACCTAGACTAATTTGAGCAAATCTGAATAAAGATAAGGAAAATTTATCATTAAATCATGATAATTAATTGAACAAGCTAGTTTATTTTACACCCCCATCAATCTTGTCTCAGCTGGCATGACTGATCAGCAAGACACACTCACATTGTTGATTCAAACAATAAACTCAATGACTACATATGAGGGAAGGTAAATGAAAAGTATGCTGTAAAGAGTAAAAAAAACAACAACAAAAAGATGCACATTTTCTGGCTTAGTTCTGCATTCAACTTCAGTAATAATAACTTCATAGTATAGTATATCTTGTAGTAAAGAATTCTAGTCTATAAGTTAAGTTTAAATATTTTTTAAAATTTTAATAACCTATTTAAATATACTATACAAGTATTTATAGTGCTAATCTTTGTCCCATTATGACAACACATAGGCCTAAACAATAACCATTTGGATGAAAAGAAAAACAAGGTAATTGTAGCACTATGACTATGTGAATCTTCTTCCGTCTATAATCGGTCTTATACTTTTCCTTTAGTAAGTGCTAGATCTACTTGAAAAATCCGTTTTAGTGGATCTAGTCGCTGTGTTCTGGTTACTAGATCTAGGCTACACTCTCTCCCTCTAGCTATCGAGAGATGAGTATTTAATTAAAATGCATTAAATTTATGAAGTGACTACTCTGAAGAAGATTTTTCTCTCCAACGTCTCCACTTAGTCTGCAAAAGATAGCTCTGTGCATGCGCAGTGACCTACGGCTAGGGTTAGAATTAGGGATAGGATTAGGGCTAGAATTAGGGTTAGGGATAGGATTAGGGCCAGGGTTAGGGTTAAGGATAGGATTAGGGTTGGTGTTAGGGTTCTGTGGTTGTAAACACACGCATGCGCAGCACCATCAAAAACATCGCCGCGATGAAAAGTCGTAGTTTCTCTCCATTGCGCATGCATATTTTTTTCCGGCTAGCATCGGCCTTTAATTTATAATACCATCATAAAAAATCATAACTTTAACTAGGGATTTTGGTAAAAAAACACTAATCATCATATAAAAATAAAAATTACATATTCTTGTAGAGCTCAACTATATGAAAACAAAACAAAAAAGATTTTCTGTCTAGCTCAAATAGTTTTTTTTTAGCGAATTTTTTTGTGAGGGGTGGAATGCCCTTGCTTTTGCATTGGCCAATTGTGACAAGTCATGGTATACCTGAATAAATTGAGCATAGTTATTTTACTTGCAGTTGTATTTTGTTCATATTTGCAGAGTTGAGCTAGAATGATATATAGAACTTGTATATGCTGTTGAAATAAATAAAAATAATACAGAAGTATATTTTTGTGTTGGCTTCCTTCCATAACCCCAAAAAAACTGTGCTGCGCAAATATGAAAATGTTTCTAAAGCAATGTTTTACAGTGAATGAAAGAACTACAAAGTTAGCAATCTAAAGTAAATGACTTGAACACTGAAATGTGCATATAACTGCATATAACTGCCCCATTATTTTGGGCAGGTGAAGTAGAGTCCATCTTTAAGACATTTTGTTATAAAACTGTGCTGCGCAAATATGAAAAAGTTTCTAAAGCAATGCTTTATATAAATACAGTGAATGAAAGAACTACATAGTTAGCAATCTAAAGTAAATGACTTGAACACTGTAATGTGCATATAATTGCCTTATTATTTTGGGCAGGTGAAGTAGAGTCTATCTTTAAGCCATTTTGTTAAAAGTGAACTGAAGTTATCTGATAAATGTTTTTATGTGTGTATTGTGTATGAATTCTGATTTTCAGCATATAAATATAACTAAGTAAGGGTAAGTAGAACTTGAATACTTAAAATTACAGTTAGCACATAGCTAGTGTAGTGTATTCTAGCAACAGACAGGTAACCTATGTCTGACTCAGCAAAATTTTACTTCAAGCAAAACTAGAACCAGAGTTGAAAAAATGAAAGACAGGTAGATCTATATTAAAATATGTTTAAAACAACAAGTAGGAGATTTGTTTGTACATTACATAAGAATACTGTTGTTAGTGTATCAAAACTAAAAGCCGGCAGATCGGGATGAAGAAATATAACATTGGAGTCAATGGGGGCAACGTGACCTACTTACGGTGACTACTTTCAAATGAGTATTTACTAATGTCAAAGTCAAAATATCCAAAAATAAATATCATTTCTATAAAAATGGGATGTATCTGCTTTGGAAACTTTCATTATCTAAATGGAAACTTTTCAAAAATCGCGTTTTTAAAGCATTTGAAGTTAACCTTTATACCGCGGTAAGACCAAAGCAGAGACAGCATGCAATCAGATCGCTAAGCCATCAAAACAACTGGAAAACCATTCTACTTTTCATTTAACATTAGGAAATGACCTTTTAAACTTAATTAATTACCATAAATTAAAAACTTATTAGTATGCAAAACTAAATCTCGTGCGCCCGGTATCAGAAAGTAATGGGAGATTTCGGGTCATGTTTTTACCGCGATCTCGGCCGATACCGACAAGCCTACTTTAACTCATAACTGCATAACTCAGATAGATAACTCAACTTAAATCTATTTTATACAATAGGCTATATAAAGAACATGTAGTCTAGTCACTGAGTAGTTAGAAGCAAAATATTAAAATAACTTCATAGAATTAGATTAAAAAGGTAGATCTAGAATGAGATCTAGACTCTAGATCTAGAGTAAGGGTTTAGATCTTGATATTCTAGCTTGTATGAAGCAAGTGAGTGAAGTGAACGATTTTCTCTAGGGGTAATCTATCGTTTTGGGTACGTAAAATCGCCCGCGGCTATTAATGTACGAAAAAGTTACCTCATTGTCAAGGCTTTAGTAGAAGTATATTGTGATATATTTGTGTCAAATATTATAGATAACTGAATAATAAATCAAAATCAATGGCTAAATATATCAATATATGCCAGAAATTAACTTTAAACAGCAGTGTTTGCGAGCAAGATTTGCTATATAAACAGCAGCCATTTGTAAAATAGAGTGACTTCCGCCTGTCTCGCGCTATATCCGCTATAAAAAAAAACTTAAACAAGATGGCTGCTATAGTAAATGAGCATGGTTGCATCTGTTGGAAACATCGCTAGTCTTCATTTATTACTGAAAAGTTTTAATTCAATTGTTTAAAAACAGGTACATAAATGAAAGAAGGAAACATTTTTGTATTTTTCAAAACATAAATCCTCCTCAAAATGTGAAATAATTATTAAAATTTAAGGAGTCACCTGTTTTTCACATTACTAGTCGCGGGCGATTTTACGTACCCAAAACGATAGATTACCTCTCTAGGCCGAGGCCGAAGTCATGTACAAAAAAAAAGGAGATAATAAAAATTGTATGAACCGTTTTGTCAAAAAAGCGTAGAGTACATTAATCTTAGCAATTTATAATTAATTGATCTTAAAAACATTTCACAACCTTGTCTCCTTCTTTGTAAGAGGATGATACAACAAGTGAAGTCTCCACTACAAGTGCCAACGCAATCAACTTCCAAACCGTCGCCATCTTGAAACAACATTGGTAAATCTCGCCGTCTCCGAGATAATCAGCGACTTGTCTACCCCACGTTAAATCTAAATAAATAGGCCTAACTAAAAATAATATTAAGATCTCTAGGCCTACAGAGTTTCTTCAGGCATCTCTTCGTTCGCCCCCCCCCCCCGAAAGTTTTTTTACCGCCCCCCCCCCCCGAACGAAATGAAATTTATATAATTTATATAGAAAATATATACTTTTAACAGTGTCCGCCCCCCGAAGAAAGTCTACCCCCCCCCCCCAAATTTCAAGTCCCCCCCCGGAGAAAAAAGTCTGGAAGAAACACTCTTCCAGTCTTTTTTCTCGGGGGGGGGGGGGGGGTCACTTGAAATTTTCGGGGGAGGGGCGGACACTGTTAAAAGTATATTCTTCGTTTGGGGGGGGGGGGGGACGATAGACTTCATCGGGCGGGGGTGGGGTGGAAGAATCTCTAAACATGTATCACTCGAGTGACTGAGTTAATATTGATATCACAAATATGTGCTGAAATATTCTATTTAGGTCTTAAGACTCGGCAAAGCAATAAACGAAGTTTTAAAAAAGATACACATGGGCATATAAAATCGTTAGGTTCTGATGTGATAGGCTAATTAAAATAGAAGAGGGCCAAGTACATTAGAAAACAGCTACAGTAGACCCACACTATAGCCCCCTCACCAATTAAATAATTAAAATCACACACAACCTTAATTATTTTAAAAACTATTTAAAAAGATAGCTTATAAAAGGGGCTAGATGTAGCCTATAATTATCCAAATTTTTTAGAGGACTATCGATAAAACTTTAAAAAAATGGAATGATACTGAATCTTAATAACTCACACAAAAAAACAACAACACTTTAACAGAAAATAATAATACATTCTACTAGTTTAGATCGTAATCAATTAATTAAAGCAAATACGTTATTTGAAAATCAATTTTACGCAGTCAATTAAATAATTTGCTATTGTTAAGATACATTTTTACAATAGAAGTATTTTAATGATTCTTTCCCTTGAACCAAAATGAATTATTTCTAGATCCAGGCTAGACCTCTAGACTAGTAACAGATATTAAAAGTCGCAGAAATGAGAGCGAGAGGAAGAGAGGGCAGTTCGCGATTAAGCGCTTTTTCGCCAGAGAATCGTATAAAAAGAATCCGAGAGCGACCTTATGAACGTAGTTTGTCTTCTGCCGCTACAACTCACCAATCGCATTCACCATCTCAACATAGTAGGGCCTAATCATAATTTTACATCACACCCCTCAAACGTGGACTAGTCCAAATTTCGAGGCAAGCCAGTGACAGATCAAACAAAAACAAAATGAACTCTTCCAGGGTTAGGGCAAAGGCTGAATGCTAATCTCCCTGCACTTTTTTGCATGGATCAGCGGGTATATATTTCTCCGCCGAGTTAAAGGAGCGCTGAGTATTTCTTCGAGATTCGTGTGGCTTTCTAGACTTTGTATATTTTCAGTCAAGTATTATGCAATTAATAACTTTGTTAAATGAAAGGTATTTAATTATTTAAATAAATAAAATATTTTTGCTTGTTTTTTCCTTAGCGTAAGGATTCAGTTATTTACATGAACACATCGGCTCAGCTAATCCTCTTAGGATTGGCTTTATCTTAGGAAGGTTAGGATAGGCGGTGGACGACAGTACCGTTAGCGGCAGCACAATGGAAATAGGCCACAATGGAAGGAGTGAATTCAATTCGAGGACGTAAATCTTTCTTTCCAGTGCAGTTTCTATCATTCTCCACCATGACATGTGAAGTGTTAATGAGTTAATCCGTAGCAACATATTGTGTTTGTGCGTTAGTGCTGTCGCCGACACGAGAGCCTTATCCATCTCAGTGTAAGGCTGACTAGTGGCGAGCGATAAATTGGACTTTCACACAGTCAGCTGTGTGCAAGCCGACCACTCAACTACACGAACAGAAGATAATATGGAGATGGAAACACTACCTGATACCGCATGGCCTACTGGTAGCAATAAATGTAAGAAAAATTTCACCGGTTCGTCGTTATCATCATCTACACACAACGGACACAGCGATGACGAAGAAATCGTGGATATTGACGACGTGAGTACTTTCCCATCCTTTCCTTTTTTAACTGGAGAATGAGGGTGAGTAGATCTAGAATCTAGAAATCTAGTTAAAACGCCTTTTAACGTCTGCTGCTTTTGTACAGTTTATTTTTTAAGCTTCCGACAGTTCGTGCAGCTTAAAAATTATTTTAGGCTTAGGGCACACATCTAAAAATTTAAGAGTGAGTAGGCCTTTTAATAATGGACTAGTTACTAGTAGATATGCTAGCCATTTTATGGGTCTGTACTGTAGTCTGTCAATAGGCCTATAGTTTATTTATTATTAGGCCTAAAAAATACATATAGGCCTATGACGGCCTATGTCTTCGACTCTTCGGGAATTTTACTTTTTTACTTCTATTATAATTTATAGCACCCCTGTCCTAAAATAAGTAACGCTCTATTACTATAAGACCTACTACAAAATATGTATTCAAATTAAACATATATTCCTAAAATCTAGTAACGCTCTATTACTATAAGACCTACTACAAAATATGTATTCAAATTAAACATATATTCCTAAAATCTAATACTAATTGGAAGGTGATGTTTTTTTGTTTTTTTTTTTTAAAAAAAGGCTTAAAATGAAAACCCAAACGATTCATATTTCATTTAAACTTAAAAGAGTACAAAATTGTCAACATCGCGTGGCAGTGTTAAGAGATATTTATGAAATTAAAGATCTAGATTTAGATTTAGATCTATAACTATAAGCTATGGGTCCACTGAACCTAATTATAAAATATTTTCATTTTATACAGCCTAATATGTTACTAAACAGACATGTCAAAAAATATATATAGGTCTATTTGTGTAGAATACATCTATTTCCAATAGGCTTATTATTTTAAATAAAAGTAGGTCTATTTATATATAAATAAAAAATATAAAATAGTAGCTAAAAACATTTTTGTATAACTAACATAATACATAGAATGTTTACTTGGTTTACATTATAAAAACAAAATTATTAAACAATAGCGTGTTACTTCTGGCCTATGGAACTAATATGAACTATACTATTGATCAAGATCTAGGCTATATGAAAGATAACAATAATACTTCTGATAATAGCCTGATGAAAAAAAAAAACAACTCTTTTTTTTTTCACTAGTCGTGATCATGATAAACCAAAATAAAATAAAAACTGCACTAGGCAGCGAGTAACGATAGAGCGGGGCGGGTAAGTTGTAGTACTATCTCCATTGAGACGGGCCGATAGATTGATCAGGAATCTCTACGTTTCCTCGTGGTTTTAGATGTGTACCACGCGTGTAGTCAGTTGCTAGGCAAGCGATGTGTTGGGGATGCTGTGGGTGGAGTAGGTAGTTCGTTCTCCTACCTCAGTATGTCTGTTTTAGATGCGGTTACAGTTTATACAGTGTGCGGTTTGTCTAATGGTCAGTTTTAGATGTGTTTACGTTTTGTGCTATTTGTTTGATGGTCAGTTTTAGATGTTTTACAGTGTGGTCAGTTTTAGATGTGTTTACGTTGTGTGCTGTTTGTGTAATGGTCAGTTTTAGATGTTTTACGGTGTGGTCAGTTTTCGATGTGTTTACGATGTGTGCTGTTTGTGTAATGGTCAGTTTTAGATGTGTTTACGGTGTGTGTTTGTTTGATGGTCAGTTTTAGATGTGTATACAGCGTGTGCTATTTGTTTAATGGTCAGTTTTAGATGTGTATACAGTATGTGCTATTTATTTTATGGTCAGTTTTAGATGTGTTTACGGTGTGTGCTATTTGTTTGATGGTCAACTTTATGTGTTTACGGTGTGTGCTGTTTCTTTAATGTCAGTTTAATGTGTGTACGCTGTGTTACAGTTGATGGAAGGTGTAGCAGTCAGCATTGCGCCCTGTAACTTGTGGTGGTCAGCACCGGACCTTTTGTTGTGGTCATGTATCATTTATCTCCTATGTGTATGAGCCGGTCAGTATTAGTGGCCTCCCTTGCCCTCTCGCAAGCAGGCACAAACTTTGGGGTCAGTTGATCGGTTTGGCTGTAGGCCTCAAAACAAACACACTTTATTTTAGAGTTTTAGTATCGATTAGCCGTACCCATCATTTTTGTAAGCATGCGACTGGAATCGTCAGTGACGTTACTTCAATCCTTAACACAAGCCATTCTGTTGATAAGTACTAAGACTATAAATTTATAGTGGAATTCTTCTCTGAGGGTTGTGCTGGTCTAATTAGGTTAAGCTTGTCGGGCACTACAAATTACACCAACTTGTGACTGGCACTAAAATAGATGTTCTTGTATATCAAAATTAACACAAAGTATTGCTTTATGCAAAGCGTTCTCAGGTTTAAAAAATGTACAAACTAAGCATAAAACACGGCTTTCGACCCAAGATCATCGTAAAAAAGATAATGCACGTTTCTATCGGAATCGCCGTTTAAAAACGTATTTTTAGCAAAAATCAGTAGATATCAGCATCTATGAGGAAAAAAACAACTACAAAAAAAAAAAAAAAAAAAAAAAAAAAAAAAAAAAAAAAAAAAAATAAAAACCCATAAATTAAATAAATCAAACTAACTACTGAAATACGTGAAGGGATCCGAAAAACCGTGAATTACTGAATATTGTAAAATCATGCTATATTTTAGTTGGATATCATGCATTTACATGAAACTAATTAGGATCGTAAACACAATGAGTTAATCTATGTTGTTTATGTAAGTATTACAAAAATCTGAGCTCATGCATCTGTAGGTCTACGTATAAATACATGCCATACTGGAAACGATTTGTACAATTCAACTGACTCCATTAGAAAAATAAAACAAGAGAAAAAAAAACAACAACAAAACAATGCACAGATCAAATACCCCTTGTGGTCTTTCTCGTAGACCACTCACCCCCGGTAATTTTTACAAATGAAAATAAAATCCAACTAGGAAAAACAAACGCCTAAAATGTTTTCGAGAATACCCCGCATAGCTGCGGAACATAAAAAGTACACCCTGTGACCACAGTTTCTTTCAGGCATTTCATTGGGGAGGGATCCGTCCCCCCTCCCCCAACGAAATATAATTTATATAAAAATATATAATTTTACCGGTGTCCGCCCCCGGAAAATTTACCCTCCCCCACTTTCCCCCAAATCTGAAATGCCCTCCCCCACCGGAGAGAAAAGTCTGAAAGAAACACTGCCAATCAATGACAAGGCTGGTATATCATTTTGGTTTTGCCTTGATAGAAGTGTCTTATTGTTTGTGTCTATGTGATTGGGGCAATAAAACACTTTTCTAAAAAAAATTTTACTGGACATTGGTTAAAAAATAATTATGCATATTGTTAAAAAAGTGATTTCGCTTCCTCTTTTATTAGTTAAACATCAATATTATTTATATTTGCTTATACGTGTTTGAATATAAAAATACCTATACATCAATTACGAACTCGATAAGTAAAAAGACTTACATAAAGTAACCATTATCCCACAACCACAGACAGTGACCATTATCCCACAACCAAAGACAGTGACCATTATCCCACAGACAGTGACCATTATCCCACAACCAAAGACAGTGACCATTATCCCACAACCTCAGACAGTGACCATTATCCCAAACCACAGACAGTGACCATTATCCCACAACCACAGACCGTGACCATTATCCCACAACCACAGACCGTGACCATTATCCCACAACCACAGAAAGTGACCATTATCCCACAGACCGTGACCATTATCCTACAAACACAGACAGTGACCATTATCCCACAACCACAGAAAGTGACCATTATCCCACAGACCGTGACCATTATCCTACAAACACAGACAGTGACCATTATCCCACAACCACAGAAAGTGACCATTATCCCACAGACCGTGACCATTATCCTACAAACACAGACAGTGACGATTATCCACAACCACAGACAGTGGCCATTATCCTACAACCACATTATCCCACAACCACAGACAGTGACCATTATCCCACAACCACACCCCGCCCCTCTGTTAGACCTGCTGGACACCACCGCCGTCCCCTCCCCGACTTAGTAAGACGAAACCATTTAATCAGTGGCGGCCTTGACGCAGTGTCGGCCCCGATAATCTCCCAGGCCGCCACACTCAGCAGATATCCTGGGCGCGTTAAAACCGAAATCAAAGCCGTTTCATTTTTTGCTCACTTGTTTGTGCCAAGCCTTGACAAAGTGCTCACGTTGTGGTGTAGTTATCTAACGCTTGTATCCCTAACTTACTCTAGGATAATCACATCGGTTATTTCCCTTTACTTGTTGCAAATGAAACGGGGTTAAATATTTAAGTTACTTTATCCTTTTCTAAAATTTCGATTTAATTGACAAGAAAATTATTTTAAAATAAGTTAAAAATTTACATATAAAATAAAAAAATACGGTTGTTGGTTCTAAACCTCCTCTCATTTATTGATGTTCTGTGCAACAGTTATCTACCCTTGCTCTAAAAAGTAGCACGTAAGTTTGTTGCTCTTCAACGTGAGAGAATGTAATGACAAAATATATTTGAAAACGTTTATGCACAAATTCATCTACTTAGGAACCCTAACTACCGATAGGAATTACACCTCAAGTTTCTGTTTTGGTCGTTTTCAAAGTCATATCTCTAGTTTATAAGCCGGGTGTTATTTAACTCTTATGCTGTAAAAGTCATATGTTATCATATACACCCTAAGTCAGATTCTGTTCAGTGTTGTTATTTATAACATTACAGCAACATTGGTATCACCCATGTTATTGCTTACACCCCCCCATCTGTTGGCTTGTATGAACCCCCCCCCCCCATCGGTTGGCTTGCAAAAACCTACCCCCATCGGTTGACTTGCAACAACCCCCCCCCCCCATCTGCAGTTTTGCAACCATCACATCTCCCCATCACAATTAAATTTTATGACCCCAGTCTTGACGTCTCCATCAAACAATAAGGATATCAGGTGAACCGTTACCCCCACCTCCCCACACCAGCATGCGCCGACGCCCTTGTAAGCACCGGACAAATGCCC